ACATTCTATAAATGCGCCATTACGCTGTGTAAACATGCTCCATTTATTACATGATAAAAGTACAACAAATCTGGCCACCCACTCATGCGTATTTTGTTTAGAGTTTAGAAAAACTTGATTTAAAAAAAAAATAACTATCAAAAAATATAAATAAACATACGTTGGCCAAGTCGCACACCAACGTTTCGAGTAAGGCAGAAAATGTTGCACTTTTTACTGGTTAGGATGTAACGTTCCGAAAAAAGAACAAAAGAACTTGAAAAAATGTTGAAAAAAAAACACGAAAAGTTGACAGCCTGCGCATAGGGTAAAATAAATGCATTTTTGTGGAAAAAGAAACCGCTATACGTCAACTCTATCAAAAAAAAATGTATCAAAAATTCATTTTGTAAAAAAAATAGAACCATATGATCACAAAATATTGTCCCAGCAGCAAACGAAGCTTTGATCTGTCAACAAACAATTATCGATAACACCAAGCTTACAATTAATCGATAATTTCCTGCAAAAGCACTAGAAATGGTAATACATATTTACCTCCACAATACTAAATCTAGCTGCTGGCATAAGTATATTCAAAGCTAAAATCTATTCGTGCATGCCATAAATTTGTTAATAAATATTAGGCAATGCACTAATCGATTATAAACACCCGTTTAACTTTCGTTATAATTATGTATGTTTAAATTTACATTATCTGTCGGCGAGCCGCCCAATTGTTTACGCTGCACAGTATAATTTAATGCATTACAGGGTACCGGTGTGTTGCATTTTCGCTCAGATGTTAGAAATAAGGAAAATATTTGCAATTTGTATATTTGTGCTTTTGAAAAGAATCGAGCAGCTTTGTTTATGTTTGATTTTGAAGTTAGCATGCATAGCGCAGTGCATGAGTGCGATTGCGTATGAGTAATCAAACATTGACAGCTGTGCCGTTTGTTATTGACTTTTGACAAATATGAAAAAGGTTGCAAATAGTTTGTATAGAAATTGAAACTACAATATCAACTGCATTTAGTGCACATTAATTATAGCAATTTGCAATACCGGCGAGAGTGAAATTGAGAAGCGCGTGAAGTGGTTAAATAAGAAATGCAAATTATAACTGAAAGTTAATATTAGAATTAATTGCAATTGTAAGAGCATAAAAGCTACAAATACTTTGCCACTATACTTTTGTTTACAAAAGTTTGAAACTGAAATTCTGCGTCAATGAGGAAATGGCGAGTAATCTGAAACTAATTGACAGCCTGACAAGCAAATTGTAAGCTAAATTTTAGCGAACAAAGCATTATATAATATAATTATGTGATGGACTTTTTTATAATAACTCTTTTTATTAAAACAATCTAATGTTTCAAACTCAAGCTGCAAATGTAAATAGCTTTACTTCTCTGGAGTTCGCTTGACAGAAAAATGTATTAGTTCGTGACGTCATAAAAGATATGTGCGAAAATTTTAATTTGATCCGGTAGCAATTTCGGAGAAAATGAGCTCATTTGTAAGCATTTTTTAACTTAGTGTAATCGGTTTTCAAAACTCGGAATGCTGTTTTTAGAGTCGGTGAGGAAAGTTTCTCCGAAACGGCTGTACCGATCGACTTGAAATTTTCACACGACCTTTTTAGATATAATTGTTAGGTAATGATTGAAGAAATCATTTTTTTTGTGAAGTCACCATTTTGTAAAAAATAAAAATTTTGACTAGTCCTTGGAAGATTACCTGTATTCACCTATTGTAATAATAAATTTCTTTGGCTCGCCGCACTTTGCCGCCCCTCTGCTGTCAGCGGCCTGAACGGTTGAATCCGCTACCATTGCTAATTAACAACTCGTTAAATATTTGACTTATCAGCTTTTGTAGATTACTTTTCGCAGACAGTTAAGCGGGTTGAAGCGCTAGTAGGCGGACGAAATGTATACGGTCATTAGTGGCTTAGCGTGTATTGGCGCCCTCGCAACAGCTGCGTGCTGTCAATGCATAGAGCTGATTCAGTTATTCAACAGCTTTAAGGTTTGAGGTGTCTGTGTGATGCAGCCAACTTCACCACTGGCAACAGCAACAATTATTAACTGGTTTTGTGATCACAAAGCAGTGTGGTGTGTAAACTTGCATGGATGCTTTGTGGCATTTTTTGTGATAATTCTTCTCGCATATTTCACTTATCGTCTTTTACGCTTATTGTCGTATGCTTTCTTCATACACTACTGCTTTCATACATATGTTTGTGTGTTGTTAATTTTTTTTTTAAATTTTTGTTTTATTGTTTTTACTTAGTTGCTTCATCAAATGCCGTGTACAACTCGCTTGATATCCCACAGCATTCTTTAGTCAGCGCTGCATTGGGGCACTATTTACCTTCGCGTGTGTTGCCAGAGCGGCCGATGTTTGTTTTGGTGTGCACCTTCTCTTTTTCTTACTCTAACACATACACGCAAACATGCATACTTACAACAATAGCTACGCTTAACAATTTTTTATTGCTGCTCTCGCGTTTGTATACGTAAGTGATAGCTGTGTGTGTATGTGTGCGCTTATTTACTAAATTTCCAATGAGTGCAGTTGTGGTTTACAATCAACAAAGAGCCGGTAACGTGGCAAGTTACAGGCACTCGTCACCTCGATTGATTTTTTTATTATTATTTACCTTGTGTGTCTGTATATATCCTTACTGCTGCTTTTAGTCTTATATACCTCTGCATTATATGCTTATTTTATTGAACTTAATTCGTATGCAGCCATGCGCTTGGCAGTTCGGTCTCAACAGTCGCGTGCGTCGTAACGTCGTATGTGGGGCGCGTGGATTATTTGGAGAATATGCAATTTTTATAGGGCACAAAGGCACACATACAATAGTCTGTACATGCATTGTTGTACATATATATGCGTATATTGTATTTAAACAGCGTAAAATATAATTTTCGAACGGTTTGAGTGTGTCAAATCAGCAGAAAAGAAATTCTTTATTAATATATTTCCTGCATACGAACAGTGTTGAGTAAAAATAAAGCGTTAAAGTGTGACCATTTAGCTGTGAAAAAATATGGCAAACACAAAGGAGCGCCACCAGTAAAGATTTATTTGCTTTATTTTATTGTTTCGTGTGTGAAAGAGTGCAAAGGCCTTGCGTATACCACAAAAGCGTTAAAATATTAAGAAAACAGTAGCGTGTCCAAAAGTAAAATGTACTCGAACAACACCTCGCTGTTGTGTCTGATGCAGAGCGTTGCCGCAGCCACCACGGCCAATGATGCCACAAGCAGCCGCAACCACAATTCGAGTGCAGCCAACAACAAAGGCAATTTTAGGCGTCGTGGCAGCTGTGAGGAAGCCATAATAACACATCAAAAGTTGCCTGCAACGGCGGAGCGGCGTAAGGGCGTACTCTTGAGAAGGTAGACACGAAATTCATCTAAAGTAGGCATACACAAAGCAAAGCTACATAAAATTAAGTCAAAAGAACGTACAAGTATTGGAAAAAATGTATAACTCGTTTATATGTACGCACGTGTTAATGTGTGTGTGTGCATATATACACATACATATTTATTTATAAATGTATGTGCTTCAAGAGCATAACAATGTGAACCATTAATTCGGATTCCTAACCTCACCTAACAAACATAGCTCTGTGCACATGTATGTATATTTGTGTGTGTATTATGAACTAAGAAAAACTTGCTCAGTGCTCTGCGGCAATTTTTTTGTTTTTTTGTTGAAAATAAATGCATATCTATATTTAGTTGTTTAGTTGCCTGTGGGCATAAATAAATTTTGTTGAATAAATTAAATTAGGCATGAATTTGTGCAAGTGGCTAGAGCGAAATATATTTATAAATGAGCGTACTTATATACGAGTACATATGTATGTAGAAGTGTTTATTTTATTTATTGTAGAACTTAAATAGTATTATTGTGTCTGCAATTATTCATTAGAAGAAAAACGTATTTTTTTATTAGCGCATGTGTTTTATTCTAATTTAGCAACGATTCACACTGCTATAGAAAAAAGTTATATGGCAATGTTGTAGGTAATGAAAAGCTCTATAACTGTTGTGTACAGACTTTTTTCTCGAAACCTGAAAATTTATGTGAAAAATTCAAATAAACAAGCTTTTGGGTTTTTTATTTATATCTTGTACAGAAATTTTTTTTCTTTCACGAAATTTGGAGTAAACTTACTTACTTCTGTCCCAAATACACTGTATTTTTTTATTTAAAATATTAAAGTGCAAAACTTATTTTGACTTAAAATCGAAAAAAAAATACAATTTTCAATCAAAAAATCTCAGAAAACGATTCAAAACAGCTTTTTTACGGCAGCAACTACAAAATAATAGGTGGTTGAAATAAAAAAGCGGCTTCGTATCGTTTTTCAGCTGTTTAATGGGTGATTTTTTTACATCTTCCATTATAGAATATAGCTGCCATATAAACTGAACGATCGAAATTAAGTTTTTGTATGAAAAATGTTTTTATTTGATAAGATATCTGCACGAAATTAGGCACAGATTATTGTCCCAGGCAACGCTATAATCTTCGAAGAAATTATTCAGATCGTACAACTATTGCATGTGCATACATACATACATAGCTGTCATACATACTGACTGCTCAATATCAAAATAAACAGCTTTGCATAATCGTTTATGCTTTAAGAATTGCAGCTGTGTAGGGTATTATATTATTATCAGCCGAAGCTAACGTTTTTTCATTTAAATCGCATAAATTTTTACATCCCTTCTCATAATCACTTAATTTTTATTTTTAACCAGCCACTTTGCATATTTTTTTAAATAAGTGCTAATTCTACTTTGCCACCACTAAAGTAGCATTTCTTTCATTAACTTTGATTCGCACACATTTATGCCCAGAAGTTATCTACTTCACCAACGTCAACACGTACAATTGACATTTCCTGTCTTCTTCGCTTATTTTTACACTCATTTCCACTTTTCTATATTATTTTTGACAGCAAATTCCCAGCACAATTATCTTACCTTTGTTTACTTCTTCTCTTTCATATGATTATTTAACTTTTCTAACTAAAAAATTATAATTTATTTGCTGACTTCAAATTATATTATTTTTATGTAAACTTAATATGTAAATATTGCTTATATGTTATTTGTACTTCTTCACCTCACAGCTGCCACACACATAAAATATGCAATGAACTCATTTTTATGCCAGTGTGCAGTTGCGAATATTTTCATATGCTTCCTGCTGATATTCCGTTTCCTCGCGCAGCACTCTTTGCCCACACTCTTGTTGGTATATATTATATACATTTATATCTTCCGAAGTCAATGCCATTGATCATTATTGCGGTTACTTGCCGCAGGCACAAATTTACCTTTACATTTTTTATTCACCTTCACTCCAATCCATTCGTATTTCCTTCTGCTTGCAAGACTCTTATGAGCACGCACGATTCCAAGGCACGCGTAACCACTTTTGATATTGCTTTGTCAATACCTGCATGTAGCTCTGAAATTTATGGTGTGCCAGCTGTTTGAGCTACACTTGTGTTTGAAAATTTTTTTATACTGCTTACGCTCTACTTTCTATTTAATTTTTTTTTAATAAAATAAAATAATAATTTTACTAGTTTATTATGATAACAAAACATCTTTAGCAATAAACAATTTTCCTTTAAAAATGAAAAAGCAGTCAACATTACAGTCGATAAAACACAATGTATGTCCAAACGCTCTCAAACTGTCCACTATCTCTCTTTGCTGTTTTGTTTGTAAACAAAGGCGAGCTCAAATCTATTAAGTCAAACTGTTAACTGTCATTAAAAAAGGAAATACATTGAAAGTATCAACTATAAATGAAATGAAGTTACAATAAAATGTTAGCGCAAAGTGCTGCGAGCATAAAATAAAATTAGTTCCATTGATTAATTTGATTTGGTTCAATTATTTGATGCTGGCATACATACATACGGATGCTACCTATTGTATTGTATTTATGCCGTCCTTTTCTGCGCTCCACTATCGTGTAAAACCAGCGATTCCACATCAAAACAGCCGCGTTTGCTCTTTTCTTGTTACGAATTGAGGTCGCCACATGTAGCACGCGGCATCCAATGGTATTGGAGTGGAAACAAACGCTTTGTAAGCGTAAATTCTTACAGAAATTAAGCTGTGTTGGTAAATGCGTAGTTAGCCAAGAAAAACGTGTAACAAATTATAAATTTCTGCTTGGCCGCATAAAATACTGAATTCGCATAATTATATATTCCTTTGTGATTGTATTAAAGTATTACTGTAAGCATTATCGTAAGGGTATCGCCTCGTAAGTTGCTTAAGTTTTCAAATAATTAGCAAAATCGATTATTGCTTCTTGCGTTTAAATGGTTTAAAAGCGCAAACTAAGCGTGAATCAACTTGTTTAAATAGCAGAACAAATTCACGGCATGAATTAATGAACGCAAAAAGTTGTGAAAATAAAGGAAATCAAGTTGCTTGGTAAGACATCACTGAACGAGTGGCAAAAATATATGATTAGCATAATTTAAGTGATTATATACACTGCAATCCAAAAAAAATGTATTTATTGTAATATTTTCAAGAGACATTTTATTTAATAAATAATGTAGATTTACAGTAAGTGATGATTGTTAATTGAATTTAAAAAATCCGCTTGTTTGTTAGACATATTTTTGAACAGTTAAACTTTGTAAATAAAACAAAAATCGTTTTTTTTTTATTTCAAGACTAGAATATCTTTTCTTTAGTAAAAACACATTAGGGCTGTCCATTAATGGTAATGTTAATGCGCGCTTGAAACTTTCCTCAATATTTATTATGCTCATACATACATTGTGTGACTTTTGGTTAATTGGGTAGGTGTTTAGGTTAGGCTTATCATAAAACATGCAATTTGTGCTGATCTTACGCTGTGCAGACCGAGTTAATTATTAAACTGCAAATTAAATTAAATTTACTCATTATTACAAAAAAATATGCGCTTTTTCTTACTCATACACTGCATACTATGTTTGCTTGTATGCAAGCAAAATAAATTGCTTTGTAACGGTTTATTGAACTCGCGCAATAAACGCACGCCGGTGCCAGTCACGTTGTCGCCGCCATTATGCCGGCTTAAGCATTAATTTTGAATTTGTTAACATATACGATTTTATTTGTTATATTTTTCTTTTTGTTTTTTGCAAGCTTGTAGTTCATATTTTTTGCAACATGGTGCCAAACAAATCGTTAATTACACTTTTTTTTTGCTTGTACATCAAGTTTTCTTGATTTCTTGTTTTTTTTCTGTGCGTGGCTTACTTTGTGTGCGAAAAGCTTTTATTTTGCCGTTAAATTTAATTTTTTTTACTTTTTACACTACACGCTGGTTTATTCTACTCCCTGCACCCAACGCTACTATTTTTATTTATTTTTTTTTTGTTTTTTTCATTTTATAATTCGTTGCGATTTTTTCATTAATTCACCGCTTCCAGTTATATTGCTTTGTTGCTTTATTTATTTGTTAATGCTTGCTATTCATCTTCGTGCGCCGCCACTTGTCTTTCGCCGATTGCGCTCAGTATTTTTAATGTTTTGTGTAAAAGTTTATTTTCATTTTACTAGTTTCCAGAGTTGTTGTATTATTACTTTTTAATTTTTGTTGCTACGATTCGTGTCATTTTTTTGTTTATATTCTCCATTGTTTTTTGCTCGCGGCAGCGTTTGTTAAATGTTTCGTTGGTCATAGCGTAACTGCCAAAATTAGTTGCTTTCAGTTTGTGTTCTTTCGCGGCGGTTACAGTTTGCGGTTCGCGTTTCGCAAAAGTGTTTAAAATTTGAAAATTGTCTTGCTCGTGTTTCTTTCGATTTCCTGTTTTCAAAATAAATGAAAAAAACCATGTTAACTTCAACTCTGCTATACAATTAATGAAATGTATAGTGAGTGGAAAGTTTCTAGTGTCTTTATGAAAAAGAAATAAACTAAAAAACGTGTAGAAAAATATTAATAGTGAGTGTATAAAACAGTTGTTTGAGCTGGCATTTTTAGCAACTATTGCTATTAAAACTTTGAAAGGATTTGGAGTAAAGTGGTACGCAATTTCAGCGGGCAACTATGCACATACTTTTTCCCTGTACATCAGCAATGATACATATGTATTTATATGTACTTAATTTTTTTTATATATTTTTTTACCATTCTAATCCCCAATCTACTCACTAGTCACCTTAAAATATAAACTGTTTTGGAAATTAAAAATACTAAGCTTAACATAACCTCACAAAAGCTATTTACACGCTGCGCTGTCATACGAGTGTGGCTTAATTTCGCCATATATTTGAATAAAAATATTTTTTTTGTGAATTGTTCAACCCACCGTGAAGCTTTAAATGTGTTTAATAGCCGCCTTTAATTTCAGCAGTGCTCGCAATGGCTTGCTGATTTTCTACAAGCACTTTGACACTTGGCAATGAAATATAAAATTACTACATTATAATTATGTTATAAAATGAACGCACCACTATGTAAATATTTAAGCTCTGTTCACAATACATATCAGTTTAGGGTTGGCGCACTCTACTTACGCAAATTAACAGATTGAAATTAGTTTTTTTTTAGCTTAATTTGTGTAAGTAAAATTTCTATTCACAAAAATTTTATAAAAAAGCATACAACGTTTTAAAAAGCAGAGCCCATCACTCATTTGAACACAAGAAAATTAATGTCTAAACAGCAAATTAGACCACCTGCTACGCAGCTGCCACAATGCATTTGAAATATAATTCAAAACAAAATTTCAAGGTGTTCACCACACATAATACATATGTACATACACATAAACCAAATATAAAAAAATCGTGTGTGAGAAAATTTCATTTTGGTTTACTTCGATTCACGTTTGCATGGAAATGTAGAGTTTTCGGTCATTCATCATCATAAAACGGCATGGCAGCAGCTGTGAAGGTTTTGGGGCAAGGTGAAAACTAACTGTAAAATGAAAAATAGGTTTGCGAAACTTGGCTCGCTAGAGTTATGCCACAAAAAATTCCGTTAATATGCTGAACTATATTTATACGCTTAACAGGGTATATTAAGTTTGCTACGTAATTTGTAATATCCAAAAAGAAATGTGGGGATACTTAAAGTACATACAAGTATATATAAATTATCGGCGTGACGAGCTGTGTCAATTTAGACATGCCTATCTTCATATACGCTTACCCGTCAAGCACTATAGCATATACATATGTAGCTGTCATGCGAATTGTGCGATCATACTCAAGTTCTTATAAGGGGGTATTCTGGTGTAGACGCCTAAATTTTAAGCATTTTTCAAATAACTTACGATAAAAAAATTTTAAAAACATTTTTATTAAACTTTTTTTTTAATGATTTTTATTGACATTTAAAGAATATAAAAAAAAATAAAAATTAAAAAATATAAAATTAAAAAATCGTCGAATTACCGGCTTGTGGAGTGGGGGCTGCAAAAAACGGTGCTGCTGGTTGACATGATTCCAACCCTTTTAGTTATCCAAAACAAACAAATAGAAAAACATCTTCATAAGTAAAGCTGTTGCTATTGGATTGACCCTTGCCAAAAAGAAAAAAAATTCACAAGATGGCGTTGACTTGAAAAAAAAATGTTTTTTGAAGTATTTTTAAAAAATGTGAAAAGCTCAAAATAAAGAGAGTCATTTTGACCTTTTCGAAATTTGTAAAAATACTTAAAATAAAAATGTTACCAAATCCAAGACAGGCGCGATAGAGAGATTTATGTATAACACAAATTTTTATCAAATTTCAAAGAAATCGGTTAAGTAGAACTTGGGAAATCATGACCAACCAACACAAAAAAAGTAGTTTCAGGAAACACGCGTTTAAGGGGTTACAATCACTTGCAAGACCGCAAAAATGCGTAAATGTGCGAATTATATTTGAAGCGTCATTTTTTTTACGACGTAAAAAAAAAAGGAACATAAAGAGAATTTACTGTTTATTTAGAATCAGCGATTAATTTTTAAACATATTGAATGCTGTTTTGTTTCTATAGCCGATCTACAGAAGGACCACCTGAAAAAGGTGTCTGGCGGTGAGGAAGTTATTTCGGCGTCAAATTATCTGAAGCCAAAAACCAATGAAATTTAGTATTATGATAGATGAATACAGCTAATGATCGAAGCAATAGTGAAATTTTTGATTTTTAAGAAAATGGCGGCTTTCCAAACAACAAAATTCATGTTTTTTGATCATTTACAATTTAAAGTGGCTTAAAAAATCGAATTTTTTGTCAAACATCTTATTACTTCGTTCATTACCTGAGAAATATATTTTAGAATGTCGTGTGAAAATTTCAAGCCGATCGGTCAGAGAAATTTTCCTCATCGACTCTGAAAACAGCGTTTCGTAAAAACCGCATTTAAAGTTTTGGCAGCTGAATACATCAAAGTAAAAAATTCCTTCATATCTCCGAAACTATTTGTCATCAACTTGAAATTTTCGGAAAATATTATTTTTTGAGAATTACAAGTGGATATAACCCCTTAAAGTTTCGTCGTCTGCTAAACCTTTGCAGTTGCCACGACACTAAACTGGCTATAACTTCAGAAATAAATCGCATTTTTTAAAATCATTTTAGGGCGATATTTTTGAAGGTCTAAACTTTGCAGATATGCAAAAAAAACTGATTTTTTTCAAATTTCTTCTAGACCAGATGTAAAACTTTTTTATTCGACAAGATTATTAACGAAATTTGTCATAGATTATTGGCGCAGGCAAGGCTAGAGCCTCCGAACTTATTGTACAAATCGGGCTACTATAGCATATAGCTGCCATACAAACTGAAATTGTTCGATCAAAATCAAAATCAAAATCTTTATTATACCTTTTTATACGTTTCTAAGCTAAAAGCAATGCACCTGTAAAGGGTATTATTGCTTCGCTGCAGCCGAAGTTAATGTTTGTTTTTTTTTGTTTTTTTACTACATAAATATTACTATGATCTAAATATTTCAATTACCGTTTTGTATCACAAAGCGCAATGAGAAAAAATTTATTATTTAGTACCATACCATATGCAACCTTTCATTAGCTAATGCAATTAACTATTAGCTTGCCAATAAGCAAATATTACATATAACTTATTATTTGCTCTACTTTTTTGTGCATTACGAAAGCTTTTGTGCTGTAATTAAGAAAATGGGTGCAGTGGCAAGAAAATAATATCGATTTGTCTATGTATAATATAATATAATATACGAGTACATATTGCAGGTACATATTACTAAAGGTAGCATGAAGACCCTCTAGCGCAGCAAACTAAAATCAGTGACAGTTACTTTAGAAATAATTGTATTTACTTTATTTAGCTTGAGTGCAATTGAATGTCAATGCTGTAGAAGTGTTTATAATTAAATAAGTTTTAAATTTGTTGTAACTAGGATTTCCTACCGGTAAGCGTTGTGTGTTTATATTGGGTCAATGCTGCGCTGGTTCCAGTTCAATAGCCATTGTAGCTTTTTTTGTGGAAAAAAGCAAAACAATAAACAAAGAGCATAAGAAAACAATAACAGCTTTTAGTAGATATATAAATGTGTACTCGTATATATGCATTATAAATCACTTTATGGATTCTGAGTAAATATAAAATTGTATTAAAACGAAATTCCGTACATGCCGCAAGTTAAAAATACTGCAGTACGTAGCATAATAAATAAACTATAACCATATAATTTTTAAAACCTTTTACTAAAAATCAGTTTTTCGGTTTTTGCAAAATATATATAAATATAATTTTTGAAGAAAAAAATTAAATATTTTTCCAGTTACACGCGAACTCTGACGGCGCTGAAAATAAGTTTGCCCACTGCTGCAGTGATTCCCGCATTCTCGGTAGATCAAACCTAAAAAAATTCTCGTTAAACCATAGAATATATTGTCCGCACAATGACCTACGATTTTTACCCAAAATTTTGATCAGTTTTAGATTGCCATAATTAAATTTTTGATCAGCTTAAACAACTAGTAGGTTATGTATAGAGCACTATATACAAAACATGCAGAAAAAACTTGCTAGTGATCGGATCATTTGTCTCCGAGTAATCACTGCAGTAAATTCGAAAAATGTAGTTTAACGAAAAATGCGTTTTAAGGGGTTACATGGATTTCGCTGATCAACACACGCCCTATTTTCAATAATATAAAAAATATAATCATATAAAAAATTAAATATTTTATACAAACTTTTTTTATTTGATAAGATTTTGTGAAATTTTCAAAGCAAAATATTCAAAATTCGGTCATTACGACGCCATTTGCAGCAGTTTCTCGGCAAAAAGTTGCTTCCGCGTTGACAGCAGAATTTTAGACAGGAACATTAAAAGTAAAAAGAAAAAAATACGTGTTTGAACTAAAACCATTAACTAGGTACGGAGATGGAGAAAAAACAAAAAAAAAGTGAAAATTGTATTTTTGGCAGACGCTTTTACAAAAACATGCAATTTTTGGGAAAGGTTCTCGTCGATTTTTTTTTAAAGTTGTAATTGAATTATATTATTGAGTAGTTCGTGATAAATCTTGACAACCGCTGTATCTCCAAAACTATTACTGGTATCAACTTGAGAATTTAGCACAATATTCTAGAGATATTATAGAATTAATTAAGACAATAATTTTTTTTTTTTTTTTGAAGCCGTGAAACCCATGTAACACTTTAAGATAAACTGAATTAAAATGTGCATTCAAAATTTTAGTATGTTTTTTTTAACAGTATAGATTATCAAAATATGAAAAAATCTGTTTTTGCTCTGATTACACGCTAGACGTGCCGGCAAGCAGCGTTGTTCCTTACGGCTGTCTCAAATAACACAAGGCAGCTTTGGAAATTTTAGCAAATTTTGTTTTAAAAATTCAGCTTATTTAGTAAATATTTACATATGTACGGTTATGTATACTGTAAGCATGCATAGTTAATATGCTTGTAACTTCATTTATTTTAATAATATTAAGCGATATGCTTGCTTATTATTATTAATGAAGGCAGATATTCGCAACTTTGCTTTGGCGCGCGCCTGTTGCTTTTGCAGAAAAAAAACCTGACTTGTTAGCGAAAGCAAGTTGTTAACTTTACTATCGTTGGCGTGGTAGCAAAATCAATTAATTTTAATTGTGCGCACTCATATATAACTAAATTGTTTTCATATTAGCACTTTGTACGCGAGAGTTGGGAGCAACGAAATCATTAATTTGCAACAACTTTTTCAGCAGAAGTGCTAAATGTTAAATGAAAATTGTCACAAACTAATTACACTAACTAATTATGCAAATAAAGTTTTAAAGTTTACTATATAACTATACTCTAACAAATTTCCGCAAAGCAGCTTTGAGTTTTTATTTGTTTAGTTGTCATTGCTTTAAAAATTGCATGCGATTTTTTATTATTATTAAGCTACTAAAGCGCTGTGGTGAAAATTGTAAATATTTACTGTTGTTAAATACTGTTTCAAATTGCTTATTTCCAACGCTTTTCAGTAGTTAAATAAGTTATTGTTAATTTAAAGTGCAAATAAATTCCCTATGCCATTGCCTCTCAAACCATACAAGTAGCAGCAACTTGTGCTCAAACTGTTATTCCATCAAAATGCTCTACAATGCAGAGAACGTATATCATATCATATATGAGAACGTATATCATCATATTATATATGATATGATATGCGTTCTCTGTTCAATGTTGTTTTATTGCGTTCAGAAGGCGTGTAAACATTACATTATTATGCGTAAACAACAACCATGTGTACAAGCAAACAAATAAATAACACGCTGCTATTTTTATTAAGCTGCTATCAATTTTATTTTATTTTTTCCTTTTATTATTTTTCACATTGCTTTACATAAATACATACAAACAACACATTTATACACATTTATGGGAGCGTATTTTCAGCACAACTCGCTGGCTCTTTATTATGCTTATATTTTTAATTGACGAGATTACGATTTTTTCTTGATTTAAATAGTTTAAATATTTCTAAAAAATGATGTTTACCTTAATATTTGCTTTATATGCTACTTTTTACTTTAAATAATCTATGTGAAATTTATATTAATAACAAATATTAGATTACATCTTAAAAGCATAACATTTATATATTAATTACTTTTGGTTATAATATTTAACTTAAATTCAATTTAAAACACAACCTGTTTACGCCTAAAAGTATGCTTCATTAATTGCTTAACTGCTATAGTACAGCTATGCTTGTGCTTGTGCAGCTGCAATACTGAAATGTACTTTTATTAGTTGACCAAAGGCAAGATAAGGTCCATCAACCTAGTCACAGCCTTAACAAAAATTCACCAAAATATTTATATAGCGCCATGAAGCCTAAAAGTAGGCAACCATTAATGAATACACTAACAAACTGGTATTTTATGTAAATTTTATATATAAAACTTCAGCATATGTGTTCCTTGGCATACCTAAATTTTGTATGAGCATATGTACATATGTTTATGCTATGTTGTTCACTTATATGTACATAATATATTTCCTACATACCGTAACTTGACGTCAACAGGCATAATGTTCAACCACGCCTTCTAGCAAAACTAAATTAAACTGTCACTTTAAATTAAAGCAGCAGATAATCAGAATTCTTAGGCAAGTGTTGATTTGCGCATTAGGGTCGGTCGTTTTTCATATTTAGAAATTTTAAAGCTGGCGCATAATAAAAAATTATATAAATTGATAATTTTATACCTTAGCAAAATTAAATAAATTATTTTTTCGTACATAGTTATAGTAATTATAGTATATACATTTTTTTTAATAAATAATACAAATAATTTTTTTTTTCGTTTTTTGCGCAGTACATTTGCTATACAACTTTAACTGCGTATAACTTTTAAAGTAATGATTTTATGAAAAAAATCACTAAGAGCTTTTTTGTAGAACGGCAAATTTTGTATTCGAATATCTTACTGCTGAAGTTTTAAGTTTACTTGCTTAATGCAAAATATTAAAAAATTTCATATTATACCCTATACATAGAGACATGAGGAAAGTAATACGATTTCGGCAGGGTTAAATTTGAACAAAAAACGCTTATTTGATTAGATCATTTTTTTGGGGCAAAAATCGAAACTTCAAGGGACGTCTGCAAAAACAAAACAAAAAAAAAATAAAAAACAAAAAAAAAAAATATAAAACAAAAAAAATAAATAAAAATAAAAAAACAAAAACAAAAAAAGGCATGTGAAATAACACACACCCTAATACACATATGCATATGTATGTATATATGTAAGTGATACGTAGTAAATAAAATAATTAGCATGTACTTATATATGTATATACACATTTACAATATATAGCACATGCGAGTAAAGATAATACAAGTAAGTGGGCGTTTTTTATGTTTATTTTTTAATGAAATAAAGTCTGCCTCATACTTGTATTTATGAATAAATGCGCAGTCCTTACTCAACAGTGAGATTAAAATTACTTTAATACTAATTAAGAATAATTTGCAACAAAAAAAAACATAGCAGTCAACCAAATATACATATATCCGTGTGTATGTATTAACGGAGGTTTTTTTTCCTCAGAGGGCGTAGAACATTAATTACAAATAAATTACAGAAAAACAAGAAAAAACGGAAACTTCGGTAACACCGCAGCTATACTTGTAATGCGCTTCGAAGATACATATCTTATAGCAGAAAATGGTAAGCATAGATCTTTAGCTTGATTTTGATCGATCAGCTTACATGGCAGCTGTAAGCAGTAGCGGTTCGATATGGCCACTATATTCAAAGATTATATAATATATATCGTAAATATAATTTGTCACATAAAAAAGTTTTCTGAAGAAAGTTTTCGAGAAAAGAACGTGCAGAAAAATTCAGATCGTTATCTCAAAAACTGAAGAACTAGTCCTACGGAGCTCAACTCAGCTTGTGGCGCTGATCTGGTGTATCTATGCTTTATAGGGTTGCCGAAATTTTCTTCTAGGTCTATAATATAATATGTTCGTTTATGCAAATATATAAGATATACATACAGATGCATATATGTATACTAGGGTGGGTAAAAAAAAATCGAAAAAAATGTATACATAAATATATAATTTTATATCACCATACATTATAATGCATACATACAAGTGTAAATAGCACAACTATGCAATTCAAACCGCAATGTACGCTTATTACAATCAATTATCAGTTCAATGGTTCAATGGGCAATTGATATGATAATGTCAATCGCCCATACTGATAATAATAAGCTGCAATAAATATGTAAGCAAAGATTATAATGTTTATTAATTGCACTGCCAGTTATTGTGAAACACTATCATTGTTATTGCAAATAAATACACACAAATGTCTGTACATAATGTACAAGAAAATATTAATCTATCTGTGGTTTCAACTGCGTAACCGATCCGCTCTTATAATACTTGTACTCACAGCACTTATATGCATTGTCTATTTGCATGCACTTAGTATAATCTCTCGTTTATTATACCATATCCTTTAATTTCATATATGCAATTTCTTTTAATCTTTGCTTCACCTTTTTCGTACTTGCAGCGTCAGTACATTTACTGCAACTCCCAACGATTCTACTTCCATGGCACCATTGCAAAGTCACGCTGAAACGCAAAGTGTCACAACATTAAACTTTCAGGACAAAGAAACCTCGCCGAACGGCAGCAACTCGAGCAGTTCGAGCAGAACGCAGCTGACGCAAAAACAAAAGCAACAGCAACATAAGCGCCAAAGCTCCAATCAAAGTGATAATTACAACACAGCCTATTCGACAACATCGGACAGTTCAACGCAGTATCTGAACAATTGTCGGTTTGAAACCAGGTGAGTCAATTAGCGATGCATAGATATTATTATTACCAATTATATTAAGTGGTTATTCCAAACTCACAAAATGCTATTTTCAACTTTAATTTGAGCGTGTAAATGCTTTCTAGTTAAATAGTGGTTCTCTCTGAAAAATTTGTTCGTTCAGCAGTAACCTAAAGTCGATTGCAGATATTATGAAGAAAAGAAAGAATATATGTGAAAGGGAAATTGAGAGCGAAGAACTGCAAATCAATGCGTACATATTAAAAGCAATTGAGGTTATAATACATATTTATGCACATTTAATTTAGTAAAATTTAGGTTAATAGCGTATTATTTAGTTATTTCTTAATTTTTGAAAATCTTGAAAGCATTTTTTTATATTGTTAGAAATCAAGTTAAACATAAATATAAAATGCTACTATATAGTGTATATGTATTGTATATATAAACACGATTAATGCAGAGAAAGTTGTGCGTCTGTACAAAGCGAAAGAGTTTTTGTTTAATATTTTATGCGCTTCTTTATTTCATCCATCCATCAATCAAAATAACACAAGCTATGCTTCTTGAGAGTAAAAAGAAAATAAAAATGCATTCGATTTTTCAGTTTTATGTACTTTATGTGTATATATATGTATCCATTTACAACAACTACAAAAAATATTTCTTAATTAACAAAAATTTGTAAACCAACAACAGCTGATTGCTTCGTGGATATTCATGTTGTCGTAAAATACTCACGCGACAGCAGCAATGAAACGCCTACAAAATAAAATACCGACTAAGAACTAACGACATAAGTAAAAGTAATGCATCCATTAAAATACTTAGATACAAATTTCAGATAGCAGAGCGAGTGTTTAATAGCACACTGAGAGTTAAGCGACATTATTGTGAATTCTTTATGTAGAAAGCCGCTTTAGTTTATCAGCAGCGTGTGGATGGTTACAGCTTTTCGTTGGGGAGGCGTGGGTTTTGGTAACCACTTTAAATATGTGTCAATTTATATGTAAAGTGTGATCCGTTTCTAGAAGGAAGACACAAATTTAATAGCGTATGTTTATTATCATTCGAAAGAACATTCTTTGGCATTTACTTTGTTCAGGCGTAAGTCTTTCCATGATAAAATGTCAAACAATACTGAACAAAAATAACACGACAGCTTGACACTACTCACGCGTGATCTGTCAAAAAAAGGCTATTGAAAAAAGTAACGCTACTTGGATCACCCGTTATATGTATGAATAAAATTTTTTTTATGGTGACTAGGCGTTGATTAGAAGTTAATCAAATAAAAACTCAAATGTATGCTTATATTGCTGCGGCAGGCGTAAATTAGAGTTATTGCGCCGTTAATATTATTAGATTTCTTATTGTGAGTTAGTTTATCTTAGCTCTTTAAGGTTTTTAAAATTGTTAATAATTAGTATTTTATTATATTTAGTGTTATAGAAAAACTCGATAATCATTGTAAGCGACTCGATAACAACACAAAAACCAAAATAATAGATAAATCGAGAAATATCTGTATCATAAAGATTTAACAAGAGAAACATAGAAATTCAGCATTTCTTAACTTCTATCTGTTCAAAAAAAATATATAAAGTAAAACTTTATTTTTCATATTAAAAAAAAAAATTAAAAAAAAAATATTTTTCATATTAAAAAAAAAAAAATAATAATAATAATGTTTTATTGACACTTTCAAGTTAGTATTAACATTTCATTGATTATTTTGCACTTATCAGAGCTGTCTATTATTCTCACAAATTTTATCTGACTACTCATCATACTATGTTCCCATGTATTGTATATTGCTATTTAACCCTAAAGTGTTAGAATGTCAGTGAGGTGTCAGCAAATGGCTTAAGTTAGCAACATTATCAGCAGCATAAAAAAATCACCATTTGCACACCTGTTCGTGCTATATGCAAACCGATAAAGTAAAAATTGGTAAAAATTGGTAAAAAGTTGTTATCTCATAACATTTTGTGCCTATGAACCGATAACTGCATGCAAACAAATCAATTTTTAACGCAAATATACAGTTATGCATTAGGCTATCGAAGGGCTTGATAGCTCCGCGGCGTTTCTTAAGTAAAACAGGTGTTCGTGAGGCGATAAGATTAATGCTATTTCTAAAGTGCCATCATCGATTCGTTGCTATCGATAATGAAAATAAAAGACCGTTCGAGATACATGAAAATGCCCACCATGATGTTTGACAATTACTCATCACATGTGGGTAATGTCAATGCGTCAGCGAGTCATTCAAAAGTTGCTTCGTTTGCTGCAAAAATACAATACAAACACGCTTACATTCTAGGATTTCCACCACTAACATTTTTATAATATTTAGTTTTTTATTCGATACATATTCTAGTATTACTTTCTATATGCGGTGGTTTTTGTAGCCCTCTAGTTTAAAAAGTTTAAACTCGCTAATATAATAGCTGCCCAATCACAATAGCTACGCTCTGTTTAGGGCACCTTGTGATCGTTTTCAATTTTTATTACCGATTTTATTGGCAATATTACGATACTCATGACTGTGCAGCAATTCACAGCAACGTGATATACTTAATCACAAGCGATATACCCGGAAAACTGGTGCATTGTGACTAACCAAATTTTTGCAAAAACTAAGTTCATGCTGCGAAACTTCCTACTTAACGCTGTAAGTGTCGCAAAGAAGTTCCTCGTTCCATTGCCTGTTTTAAGTAATTTTCAACGTAGCTCTCTTTTATATTTGTATACTCTAAATACAGTATATTAAGTTTGCCAATTTTTCGAGTGGTTAAGCTGCAATTAAGAATAGTTGCGCAATATTTTAGATAAGTACTTACCGTTATCTCCCAGCTGTGCTGATTTGAGGTAGAAATCCGATAAATCATTGCCATATGTTCACAATCATTGCTGCTCACTTGCACATATTTTCTATATACTAGTATAAGGGTGTGTACACATTTTCACAGACCACCTGTCCACTTGTCTATTAACGCGCCATATTGTCGACACTCATACAGTAAATAATAATACAAACCCCCTTTACTATTTTGCAAACTGATAAGTACTGTTAACATAAATCCAAAATTCAGCTCAGGCCAAGCAGAGGCGGTAACTTTAGTTGGCAAACGTTTGTTGACAAAAGTAGTTCGGAAATGCCACAGAGCGGCTTAATCCAACAGCGTAAAGTATTTACACATACATATTGATTGAAGTAAGAGTGAAATTAATGAAATTATGCTGCGCATAAATGCTTATTGGCAGTTCAGCAGGTGCGCTTAAAAGTTTTTTAGTAGCTCCGTGCAATCAGAGTTGCACATTTTTTTATATTATCTTAAAAATTTTCGGATTAAAAATTAAATTTTTATGGGAATTGGAATGTTGGGATTAAAGTTAAATTTTTATGTTGCAATTTGCAAATTGCACGTATAAATCAAAATAAATAAAAACTGTAATTAATTAATTTATTAAATTTAAATTGAAAAATTGAAAAATTATATTTATTGCATGCAATTAAATTTTTATGATTTTAAACCAAGATGTTTGATATTAAAAATTGAAAATATTATTTTATATATTATATTTGTTTTGAATGAACACGAAATAATGTTAATTTTAAAACAAATTCATTTTTTAATTTTTACTTGTAATTATATGCTTGAGTTTAAAAGTTAACGCGGAAAAATGTTAATTCTAAAACAAATTATTTTTTTCTTCTTCTTAACTATGTGCTTGAGTTTAAAATTTTATTTTTTATATTTCAATCCTGTAGTTGGGATTCGATTTTCGAGATTACACATTTTTTTTCTGCGCTGGAATAATATTTTTTTAATTTTTTTATCCCGTATTTGGAATTACAAAAAAAAAAAAATAATTAAAATATTAAAATGTTTAGCAAAAATTGTTTAGTCCATTATTTGCAACACTGCGTGCAGTAAATATAATATTTTTTCAATTTAAAATTGTATCAATTAATTTATTTCAATTTAATTTAAATGTTTAATTGTTAATTAAATTTTTTTAAAGCACTATTTGCAACCCTGCAAATATAATATATGTATACTTTTTTTTAATTTAAATTTTTTTTAAATTAATTAATTTCATTTTAATTTAAATTTATTTTTTAAATGCATTATTTCCAACCCTGCAAATATAATATATATTTTTATTTTAATTTAAATTTTTATCAATTAATTAATTTCAATTTAATTTAAATGTTTAAATGTTAATTAAATTTTTTAAATGCATTACTTGCAACCCTGCACAAAAAAAATATATTATTTTTTTTAAATTTAAAATTTTATCAATTAATTAATTTAAATGTTAATTACATTTTTTTAATGCATTATTTGCAAACCTGCGTGCAATAAATATAATTTATTTATCAATTTAAATTTTTTTCAATTAATTAATTTCAGTTTTTATTATTTTTTTATATTATAATTTGAATTTATATGTGCAATTTGCGATTTGCAATTTCATTTTTGCTCTTTCCTATATTTATATTAATTATTTTATTAGTTTAACTTTATCACTTACTTAAAAATGCATTACAATAGATCAAATGCAAATATATATACATATTATATATGCAAGTATGCATGCGCTCTACAAATACCCGGTTTTTTTCAATCGCTCGGCTACATCTCATCAAGCTGATAAGCACAGCCGCTGATAACAGCAAGTAAAACAAATAACGGCAGTTATACAGGCATATAGACTTCTATTCCACCACCTGTTAATCCGAAACGCTTAAGGTAGTTAATGCCCACCACTTGCCCGTTAACCAACTACAAACAGTCTGAACTTTATGGCATTTCACAGACATATGTGCATACATATGTACATGTATAGAAAATCCTGGTCAATATTACTTTGCTTTATGGTCGCTTGAAAAATTCACCGCCGCCGTTGGTTAGTTTGTTAAGTGCGCGGGAGCGATAAAGTTGCAAATTATTTGCGCGCAACGAAAATGTTTCGAACGTAAAAATATAGTATTATATTTCTCGCGTCAACATACATATGTATATATGTGCATGCTAAACAAGCATAAATATATTTTTGTGAATCCCAGCATACCTCTGTAATAGCGTATTAGATGTGATAACACAGCAAATAAGACGCTAAATTTGACAGCGTTTTGAAATACACCACAGTGGTGACTTGTCTGTCGCACGCGTTAAGGCAAATGCCAAAAAGTATACGGTTTCTTAAACCGCAAAAGAAAAGCAAAGCCAAAACTAGAAGTGTTACTGTGCTTGTGATTTAATCGATTCTCAATCACTTTGAAGCATTTTAACATACATATAACAATGACAAAGACCAATGACACGCTAAGCAATCTAATTTATAGCGCGAAGAGTGTTTTTCAGCCGAGAAGTGAAAATGATTTAAAATCGTTCGAAAATTATATATACGATAATTACATATCCGATTTGGAGGGCGACGGCGAATCAATTCCGACGCCAACGGTAGAAAATGATAAGCGCGCCAAGCGTAGATCCATATTCGAATTGCCTTGGAAGCAACATGAGGACACGTACGCCGTGGAGTTCTATTGCGCCGCCTCAAGGGAGTAAGTTAGCATGCATTTTTAAATAACAAACATAATTCTTAATAACGGGAAGTATTAGTGCTTCAGGCTGTCAAATAACATTTAAAAAATATAAATAATAAAATTATAAATAATAAAAAATATAAAAATAAAAAATACCAAGAAAAGTTGGGCTATGAATGCGCTGTGTAGAGTCACATTTTCGCGGTTTTTTTTAATTGCGGCGTTCACCTTCTTCACGATATAACAAAAATATTAGTGATGGCAGCTTTGTTGAGTCTAAAATAAGTCTATATGAATACTAATTCATAAAAGTGATTCGAAATCTTGATATTTTTTAAGTCATTGCCATTGCTGGCTTATTCAAAACATAGCAGAATTTCAAATAAAAATATCGTGCTTACTTTACGAATTCTGCTGTGCCAGTACTTAACTATATCAAAGGAAAATTCATTATTTACTCTTCGTAGCATGTACCTACATCAATAATATTTTCGTTGCATAAGCCACTTTAGATAGCTACTGCCGCGTAATGGTTAATCAATAGTTAAGGTGCAATTAAATTATGAAATAAGTAGAACAAGTATTCTTTCGCACAATAAAGAGTTTATGGCTTAACCTCAAAGGTGACGGTTTGAAGATTAGAAAACTGGGCACTAGCAGCGCTTCATTAAATGGGTTAATATTGTGGAATAATAGAACTTGAAATATTGTGCAATATTTAAGCATTTGATAGCATACATTTCCTCTAGTTGGAAATTATTTTCCAAGTAATTAAAAATAATACTTACTACCTCAAAAACAAAACATTATAGAAAATGAAATACATGCTAAAGTACAATCTGTGCCTTTGTGCGTGTCTCAGCATTAAATATTGGCCAATTAATATTTTACAGACAAAACACCTGTCAGCGTGGGAGTGCTGCCAAATATTCTCCCATAGTTTTTTTTTATATACAATAATTTAATCACGACACTTATATGCTTATTTATATATAATTGTTTTTCTGCGTATATTTGTGAACATAAGTATTTACAAAGTGCGCTATTTTGCAATGATTGCTTTATTGTTAATTAACCCCTTAATTTATTTTCAATTAGCCGTAAGCTAGTTATACACATGATGTTTGTTTATACACGAGCTAGTCTTTTAGTTTTTAAGATATCGAGCCGAAATTTTGCACACGTCCATTTCTGCCCAAAAAGCTGCTCATTTGTCGGAACAACCGATATCAGACCACTATAGCATATAGCTGCCATACAAACTGAGCGATGAAAAGAAGTCTTCGTATAGAAAACTTTTTTATTTGATAAGATATCGTTACGAAATTTGGCACAGATTATTGCACAAGACATTGCTTTAATTGTTTAAGATTGCACTACTATAGCATATAGCTGTTTTACAAACCGAACGATCAAAATAAAGTTTTCGTATGGAAAAATGTTGAGTTTGGCGAGATATCTGCACGAAATTAAGGATGGATTATTATATAAGGCAACGGTATAATCTTCGTACAAGTTGTTTTATTTGTGAAAGCTATTGTAGATTCGATGTAGCCGAAGTTATTGCTTTTCTTGTTTGCTTATACAGTCAAGTATCTATCTAAAAAATATATATAGATTTTTGTACGAAATTATTTTATTCCACCATTAGTTTACCTTCTCGCAAATTTTGAAATCCATTATTAAACTGTCTGGCGTGGTTTACTGTGGTATGAGGGCGCATATATGTATGTATGCTTAAAGCTTAAAATACGCTATTTTGCTGACGTCAAAAATTGCTATTTTTTATTTATATTATTCTTATTGCGACGATCCTATTAATAATAATTAAAAATCTTGCATGACAGCCAAAACATGATACAAAAAAATATATAAAATTCTACAAAGCAGTAAGCAACAACAGCAATTTATAATATGTATAGTTGCTGTCGCATAGCATCTCAGCAATCAAGGTGTTGTTCGCTAAATTAATATGCTTTATTAATACACACATTGTGTCATTGTTGTCTTTGCTTATGCCTAACGGTATATGCCATGCTATGACGTCATGAATAAACGCTAATGATTGCGTGCGCGTCGTCAAAAAACGACCACAAGAGCGAAAAATAACAAACGTCACCAACCAACGCGAATTTATGGTCGGCATGCAGCAAAACAATAACAAAAAAATAAATGCCAATGAAAAATAATAAACAAAACAGCTGCTGTGCGAGGTGGTCTGCAAATGTCATCATAGGCGCATACTATATTAAATTAGGCAAATATTGAGGAATGCAGTTCGCACACATATCTCAACGTTCATTTATGTTTGGCGTGAATTTATTCAAAATAAACAATAAATAATATATTTTTAAATATTAGCGAAATTTCAGCACTCAGCGTAGCAGAAATGAGTTCACAAGGAAATTTATTTGCTTTAGTATATTTTCATCTCTGTAGGGCAACTTGGTAGCTCAAAGGTTTTTACAAAAGTGCGCTTATAAAAAATTATTCACTTTTTTTCTCGAAACGCTGTTTTCGTGTCTTTGAGATAAATTTCTTCGATATGGCTGTAACAATCTACTATAAAAGTTGAAATTTGTCGGCGTCAGCGCGTTTCTTCGGACTTGCAAGTAGAAATAAACACTTAAGATTAGTTTATATTAATATATACTACCTTCACTGATTTTTTTAATAGACACTCATAGCTTATTTCTCCTTTGCATTGCAGATCTTTGTACACAATTGCGCCGAGCGGATCCACTACCAGCATACGCAGCATCAGCCCAACGTCGCGTAAGAGTGCCACCAACACCACGGCGAAGCATGAGCAATCGACAGCGGCAGCAACAGCTGCTGCCGCCGCTGCAACAGCGGTGCCTGCCGAGAAGGAGAAGAAGCGCAAGGAAGTCTCCAGTTCGCGTGTGAAGAAATTCCATCGGCACTTTACGCAAGTCTCCAAAGATGAGAAGCTCATCAATTGTGCGTAAAATGTGCAATGAAAACGGTTCAGATTTCTAATAATTTTTGAAAATTGCAGATTTTTCCTGTGCGCTTGTTAGTGACATACTGCTGCAAGGACACCTTTATATAACAGATCAGCATTTTGCATTCTATTCAAATGTGTTTGGTTATGTTACCAAGGTGAGTACGAAGAGGCTCGCATTCAATTGTTGATAAACAGTAAACTTCAATTATTTTTGTGTTCACTTCAAACCAGGTTGTCATACCCACGTCGTCCGTCACGAAAATCTCCAAAGAGAAGTTGGCGAAAATTATACCGAATGCCGTGGGTGTCGCCACCGCCGATGAGCGGCATGTCTTCGGTAGTTTTATGAGCCGTGAGGCAGCCTTCCGTTTAATGTGCAGCGTTTGTCCGCCATTAGCACCCATTGAAAATCTTCCAAAAGCACCCGCAGACATTGAAATTTCCGAAGAATACTCAATTGAGGACGACAGCAGCTGTTCGATTAGCGGCAACGAGAGTCCACCACAAGCTCTAATTGCAGCAGTCACCGCCAACATTGGCGCAATCGACGAACTTGGCCAAACGCTGATACACCGCAATGTAACTGGCTCCAGTGTGAGCATTGCCGATGGCACCGCAGCAGCAAATGAAAACCATCGACATTCCGGTGAGTGCAAGTGCACACTCGTAAAGTAGCATCAATAAAATAAAAATCACTTGCAATACATTGCAGATATTCCAATAGATGCCAAACAAGCCGGCGCTTTCACCAACACAACAATGCGCGCATCAGCGCCACCCTCGGCACGCTACAACTCCAGCAATGGCAAAACTGCCAGCGGCGCAGACGGTACGCCGACTGCAAATACCAGCGGGGGTGAAGGCATGACGACCGCCGGTATTGCACTAATTGTGACCGGCACCAATACGTCAGGCTCATCGTCGCCCACACCGTCAACATCTTCCTCGCTGCCAATCACAGTGATGGGCAGCACACCTAAGTCAGCAGCGCATGCGGCTGTGTCGAGCTTTAGAACGCTGACGCAGAAGGCGCTGCTGCGCTTGAAATTCCCCAAGGAATTACATGTCGTTTACTTAGGTGTGCTGCTCACTATGGTGCTGGCGCTATTCTCTGTTTTTCTGCTCTATCGAATACTGGACATTGAGGCGAAAACGAGCGCATATCGCTCGCCAAACGAATTTAATTGGGTGAGTAGGATTGGCGGCGTATGCGCATGCGTATGTGTATTAAACTAATGCTGCTTTCTTTGTCGACATTTTGTTTGCTTCCAGCAGCGCGCCGGCACCGATGACGATATATTTGCGGAGGCTTTGCGTTGGCAAAAGGAGCTGCAAGCTAAAAGCACCGAAGAAGCTCAAGATATACTTACACACAATTTAGAGCAGATTGCCAAGGTGAGTCGAGTTTACAAATATGAAATGTTATAACACAAATATGAAAGTATTGTAGAGCAAGCAGATAGAGTGGACTATACTATACTATATAGGAAAGTATTTTGGCAGATCGAGCATAGAAACGTTATTATTATAGCAACTTAAAATATTCGCAACTTGTATTGGCGCATACTGGTGTTGGCCTTTGATTTGTTATCTACCATATCGCGTGGACAGTTTAATTAAAAGATGAAATATATAAAGTACACATATTCACACGTCGTATGGTCATGCCCGATTCCCGTTGCCACCGTCAATATATTTATGTGTTTTATAAGTTGCATTAGTCACCTGGCCGTAATCATTCACACGCCAGATGTCTGCCTTGTAATTGCCGACATTTTTAGCAGCGCTTATCAGCCCCCGATAAGCAAAAACAAAATATGAAAAAAAATTTTAATTATTAGCGCTTCTCAGAAATGACTTAATTAAACGACAGGTGCCAAAAATAGCAATATCTAGTTTTTGAATGCAATCGATTACTATAAAAATCGTTTTATCGGTTTCTATATTGCTTAATGAGGCGAGTAACGGATTTCAGTTGATTGTGTAAGTCATGCGCGCACTCTAAGGGAAATTTTCGCAAAATTCACGTAATTATCTATTATCACAACTTATATATACAATTAATTTTATTATTGGGAATTTTTTTATTGAATTACTTTTTTTTTTTGAATTATTGTTTTTTTTTTTTGTATAATTGAATTATTAGTTTTTTTTATTGGCATACACCAATCAAATGACAGTTTTTGTTTGACTGGGCAATAACATAAACTATTGAGATTGTGGCTAAAAATTGTGAGATGTGGCTCCACCGTCGCGTCAAGTTTTTATATATCTTTAATTCCATCTTCAATACAATGAAGCATAATGCGCCAATTCAAATGCAATTCATAAATCAGAGATGCGTGTGGCCGAAAAAGTTCATACACTAATTCGAACAGCAAGTTATCAGCCAGGGGCTCTAAAACAGCTGCCAACGGAAAGAAACAATCATCCAGTTGCTTTTAGAATGATAATTTTAAAAACTAAAATATACAACAAAAGTTCCAAACGAAAACCAGACAGCCAAATAGCGCCATATCATTAATTAAGTGGCTTAACTAATGTGATAACCTGAAAAAGTCGAATTTTAGGTATTAAAAAAAAAACTAGTCTATCAATGATTTCAAAATTAAGGTTATGTTCATACTAGGGCTCTTAAAATTATTCGAATAACTCCAAAACCGATTATTTTTTATATCCGGTTTGTTATGTATTTGTTATTTGTATGCTTTAGTATGTTATTTTTAATAAAAGCTATAACTTATCGATTTGTAAAAAAAATCGATTATGTTTTTGTATTTTCAAACTAGGTGTGTCGCTTAGGAAGTCAAACAGACAGAAAAAATTAAATGAAATGCTTTAAATTATATTTTTATTTATATACATATTATTATATATATTTATATACATATTATTATTTTATTATATTTATATTATATATTATATTATATATTTATGATTTTATGATTTTTGCACACTTATTTGATAACTTTAATATTTTTGTCATTGTAAATTAATATAAACGGTACTGCAGCCTTTATATTATCGTATCTCTGCTCCGCTCTCTTTTCAGGTGCGTCGCAGCTTAGAAACGCTCTCAATGTTAATCCATGACAGAAGCGCAGCTCATGAACAGCGCGACGAAAGTGACTGAATTTATATTTTTAATTAATTTTAATTACAATTTAACCGTAAAAGGAAAGGTCACGATCCTTTCACACACATACATACATACATACATACTACATAGTTACACATTACTTTTAAGCTGATAAACTACGTTTAAATTAAAGCAGTTATATTTACTTTAATGAAATAAATTCAACTAAGCACTACATACAAACATAAATAAAGCAGAAGCAGTTGGAAAGCAAAGCATAAAGTGAAAAAGTGCGTAGAAAATGCGACAGTGGTGAGCGCTAAAGCGGCGGCGCTTAAAAGCAGTGACACAAGCAAGCAAGCAGCAAGCTTTGAAAAATGAAAAGTGAGTGCAAAACATACATACATACATGCGTAAATATGTATTTCAGGCAAATGCCGTTGGCAAACTTGCGAAACATGTAAATATATTTTCATTTTGAAATGTGCATTCTGTCAATTTAATATTTATATATAATAAATTTTTTTTTAATAATTTCGCTGATCACTTCTTTGCCTGTGGCTGTGCGCTCAAGTCAATTTTTATATGGTTCCTATTAACGGTTAAAGTAATTTCTTGGTATTGTAGTCATGCTGTTGTGCCAAAGATATTTAGAAATGATATCTGTACTGCGAAGAACCGCGAGTTGGCGTGCAAAATTGTATTTGCGACATTTTGCACGTTTCAAAATGAATTTATATTTTATGTAAAATGCAATTTAAGTCACAACAAAATGGCTAAGTGTGCAAAATCGGCCAAATTATGCCAAACATTTTTGGCAACTGTGTAAGTTTTCAAGCAAATTAGTGGAATTTAAGAAAAATAAATACACCATAATAATTGTCACTTAACTTATAAGCACAAAATTTGAAGTAAAGTGTTGCACTATAAAACTAAAAATATCACTGTAAAAAATGCATTGCAAACATTAAATTTATTTAGGCAAAATTTATTGCTATTAAAATAATTTTCATATGTTTTCAAGTATTAAAAAATAGCAGAAATAACTTTATTAAGATAAAAAGTTTGCCATGCCTGAAAATCAAAAAAATTCTGTGGTTGGTCCAAAAAATTTTTTTTGATAATAAAAAATATATATAATAAAAATTTTTTTTATATTTAAATTTTATATTTTTTTTTATATAATAAAATATTTTTTTTTTATATTTAAATTTTATATTTTTTTTTATATAATAAAATATTTTTTTTATATTTAAATTTTATATGTTTTTTATATTTAAATTTTATATTTTTTTTATATAATAAAATTTGTATTTATATTTAAATTTTTTTTTTATTAAAATTTTTTTCTATACACAACTTTTTTTTTATTGTATTAAAAATTATTGCATATTTTTATATTAAATTTCACTGTGTTCACGCTGGAAATTGAAAAAACATGCTGGCCGATGCTCACATTTAACCCTTATGTGCAAACATTTTATAATATTTACCGGTACTCAAAAAAAAAATCAAATCAAAATAAATCAAAACTAACTGCAGCGCTGCGCCGCTGTCCGCAAATAAATAAATAAAATTAAGCAAGCATGCAATTTTTAACGATAAAACGCAAAATTAGTTTATTACGCAAGCGTTTAAAGCAACTAAGTGTTAAAATAAATTATAATATAAAAATGAGAACAAAAACAAAAACTCAACCAGCTGTGCAGCATAAAGCGCTGGCAGCAAAAAGAAACAAAAAAATAAATGTATTAAAATATTACAACAACAAAAATAAAAACTCAAGCAAAATGTCAAAAGCCAAAAACAGAAACACTTTCAGTAACAAAACTAGCAGCTGGGACATGGTGCAATGTTGGAAACGCTTGTGGTGCAATGCGCAGTCGCAGCCGCAGCCGCGGCTGCAGCAATCCACGCGTTATACAAAATGACTAATTATAGACAAGTTTTCATGTGCTAACACGCGCCGTTTAGTATTAAAAATATTACATTTTCACGCATGTGAATGCCAATTCAAACTTCTTACGGCGCCTTAACCCCCATTCACACACGAAAATAAAAGGCAAGTGAAACATTTGAAAAATCATCGCATGCCATTTCCCCGCCCCTCTCTTCACACACTTTACACAGCACATTTGCCGTTAAGCATATTTTTAAGCCACTCTCAATTTGCTATTTTGCGCTCACGGCGCTGCGACAATTTTTCTACGCAAACAACAAAACACAAAAACAAAAACAAAGCACGAAAGCAGAAGTAGAAAGAAAATGCAAGCAAATCCCTTAAGCTAATTTCGGCGTGGAAATTGAGAGCGTAAGATTCCCCTGTGATACAAACAAACATGCACACAAACACACATGCATGCATACATACATACCAACATACATATATACATACATACATGCATACATACATACATATGTTTAGCATAATTTTTATTAAGTAAGAAAGTAAAATTTGCGTTTTAAAATAAATTTTAAGTTTAGCTGAAATATTTATATATTTTTAATTTATTATAAAATTATTAAATTATAAAACTATAAAATAAATTTGCAAATTTTGTTAATTTTTTGGTTTTTTTTTATGAAAACGCCACTTGTCGAAACGTTTTGTAAAGCGACTTTGACCTTGAGTTAGGAATTTATTAGTTGTAATTACAAATATTTCTTGCAAATTAAAAGCTTAACGGCACTAGCTAATTAAGTATATGTGATTGTATTAACGCATTACATAATATGCGGCAGACACGCTTTCGCTCTGCTTTGCGTTTTCGACTCCTTAAGAAAAACTATGCTTAAATAATTTGTATTTATTATTGTTGTAATTAAATATACTTGTATGTTTAGTGCAATGTGTACTCAAATAAAAGCAAACGTAAACTACTTTGTGTAATTTGTATGTGTTAGTGCAGCGAAAACCGAAAGTAATAGTTTTTAAGCCGACAATTAGAGAGAAGTGGAGAGATTTTGTATGCATTAGTTTTGCGTTTTTGTATGATTAAAAGCAACATATTATATAATTATTATTAACTAGAAGAAGCAGCTGCGGCTTTGGCATTAAATTAGCGCGGCTACCCATTGAAATATGATACTTCCATAAAAATTAAAAAAAAAATAAATGCTAAAAGTGTGAAAATAAACTTAAACAAAAGCAAAAGTAAAAGCAGAAGAAAAGAAAAAGCGCATATGAAATTCTGTTTAAAAGAAATTAATAAAATTTAAAAATTACCACAAAAGCATACAAAAATATAAAAATTATAAAATCTTAACATAAACAAAAAGCAAAGACACAGAAATTCATAAAAATTGTAAACCAGCAAAAAGCTCGTTATGGATCTTCTGTAGCATACAAAGATATACATAAATAATAGAAAACCGAATATTCGCAATAAATTATGCAATTTAGCGCAAACATGGAAATCTAAATAAAAATTGTTGTTTTATTACAAAATTGTGGCAGGTTATTGCAGCTGCATTGCACGCGGTAAGTATTGGCGCTATTCCACAAAATAAATTTAAGAAAAGCAAGCATTTTGTGCGAAAATTTCATGAAAACCGACGCATAGCGACACATTTTCAAATTTCATAAAAATATGTGTAATTACGAAATTAAATTTTTGTAAATTTTCACATTTTTAATTTTTCGCTACGACCACTAGTTCCAAAGTTACAAGCGTTTTTCTATGCGGCGGCTGCTTGCTACATACAGCTGTTGACAGCTAATTGGAAGCGTTCGCTTTTCATAGCTGACTGATGAGTATAATAATAAAAATGTGTTGATATACCGTTATTTATGCTCCTAAAAGTCTTGCATTCTTTGTGTTACACTATTTACTACTAAATTCGCTCAGTTTTGTTGTTGTGTAGTGGAAGTACTGTTAATTTTTTTCCACATAGCACATGCGTCACATTGTAATTGTTTAAAGTAACATAGTTCCGCACGGTGTTAATATTTAATAATAATATCAGCCGACAGCGGATGCAACAAAAATTTGCTGGTGTGTAGCATATGCTGAGGGGCAAAAATGGCACAATACTATGCAAATTGTGGATATAAAACGAGGACCGGAAACAAAAATTAACGTAATATAATTTCCGGTTTCATGATTTTTCGGAAGTTGCCAACCGGAAACGGAAGTGTTTTTAAGTTTTAACCGGATGCTTTATATTGCGCAGCATATGCAAAGGGGTAAAAATGGAACGGATGCAGACAAACACTAAGACCGGAAATTGACATGTAACGGTATCCAGAAAGGAAAATTCCATCAACTCATTTTCAGTTTAACACATTCGCGACGGATGCTGCTTTATATCGTCATTTGATTGATCGTTTAACAATTCCTTCAAAATGTCATTAATCAAATTCAAATTACTCTTTAGAAAAAATTAGATCTTTTATTATATTTAGTTAACAGAAGCAGAAGAAATATACCGGAAGCTGTTGACAGGAAATATGCTTATCGTTTTCTCGGAAGCGTTATATACGCAAACCGCATACAATATTTATAAAGGAATATAAACAACAATTTCCGGTTTATGTAATATTTACGTTTCCTCAACTTCCGTTATAATTTTATAACATCTGATTTTAAAGTATGTCCGTTTCCGTTTAGTAATTTTACTCCTTTGCTTATGCTATGTTAATATAATATTTCCGGTTACTGCAATATTTCCGTTTCCTTTCATCAACTTCCGTGATAATTACTAACCGGAAATTTTATATTCTAATATTAATTTCCGGTGAAAATTACATACATCCGTTTCTAAAGTATGTCCGTTTCCGTTTTTATATTTTTACCCCTTTGCATATGCTACAGCAATGCGCTAGTTTCTGAAAAATGCTCATAACGTCTAAACTAGTGGTCGTAGCGAAAAATTAAAAATGCGAAAATATGTAGAAACACATGTACTACAATTCTATTCAAGAAAATTTAATTTCGAACTTAACGAAAAATTTAGAAATTTTAAAATGTGTTGCAAATCGCCGATTTTTTACAAAAAAGCTTTGTTGACATTAATCGCTCGCTTAAGTGAGGCGCTCGAAAAGTGGTGGGAAAACATTTTTAAGTGTTTTGTTTTATTTCAAATCCAAAATTTTTTACTTGAACTATTTTTTTTATGTTTTTGGATTGTATAGTAGACACAATAAATGCGCATTTGCAGTTTTTTATTAACTGCTCAATTAGCGTGTGTTTTCACTTTTGCTGCGAAATAAAAAATAGAAGTTGACTGGGCTATTTTCATTTTTTTTGCTAAATGCGTATTTTTATTTTGATGGTTGTATAAATTTTGCAAATACAATTACATATTTCATCATGTTTTATTTTATATTAATTATTTATTTATTTTTTATTTTTTCATTTGCTTAGGCTTTTATGAATACATTTTTTCTGTAAATTTATTTAACGCAATTAGACTTGCTATTACTTTTTCTACTCATTTATGTATGTGTGTGTGTATATAGGTTGTGGCCATAAATAACTACGAATACATGTATACAAAATCTGATAAAGTTTAGGAGCAGCTTGTTGGCTTGTTGCCTTTTTTGGAGTTTCGCTTATGTAATTTTCTATTTGACATTTCGCTTTCGTCTTTTATTGGCCTACTTGTTATTGTGGTGTGCGTTTTGAAGCGAATTTCGCTTCGGCAACTCAAGTGGAGGTTGGGGATTGGCGTAGTAGTGCTTATGCGGTTTATTTGGGCTTAAACGCTCTTGCGAGTCATTGGTGTCAGGGAAATTTGCTTTTTTAAAGAAGAATAAATTTGAGTGAAAAGATGTCAAAAAATACTCAAATAAAATTTAGTTAAGAAATCTAAAAACAATTTCTGTTTAAAATATGCAAAATTAAGTAAAAATATTAATGTAGTGATATTTTTAAAATATTGAAAAAAAAATAAAAAACTAAAAATAAAACAAATAAAATAAAAAAAAAATAATAAAAAAACTAATAAAAAAATAATAATTTAAAAAAAATAATAAAAAAAAATAATAAAAAAGAAATAAAATAAAAAACTAGCATAAATAAAAATAATAATAAAAAAAAAATTTTAAAATATGCAAAAGGAAGACCACATTAATATTAATGATAATTTTAAACAATTTAAAACCAAATAAAAAAATATAAAATTAAAATCTCAAAAAAAAAATAAAATAAAACACTAATAAAAAAATAAATAATAAACAATAATAAAAAAACAGAAATTAAAAAAAAATTTAAAATAAATAAAAAAATAAATTTATAAAAAAAAATTTTTAATAAAATGAATTTATTAACTATGAAAATTTTATTTAGATAAAAAAGTTGTCAAATATACAAAAAACTTAAAAAATTAAAATACAATAAAAAAAAGGTTCAATCTTTGACTAAATTAAAATGTGTGTGGTAAACAGTGCAGCATTAATATTTCATTTAAGTCTTAAAAGCTGTAACTTGGAATATATATATATATATACATATATATACTTGTATATATGTGTGTACTGCTTATGTATATTTCCGTTAATTCCGTTGCTGCTGTTTGTGTACGTAAAACTATTAGACACATTTCATTGCATTTTTATAATTTTGCTAATCCAACTTTGCTATTATTGCGTTTGATGCTTATGTAAAAAAAATCTAAGCTACGGCGTATATTTAGTCGATTAGAGTGCAATTTACACACGCTGTTTACACATTTCATTTAATATTATTGTTTTTTGTGTTTGTGTTGTTTAAAAAATGCTTTTCACATTTGAGTTTATTAATTTTAGTTTGAGTTTTGTTGGAAATTGTTGTTGTTTACACATTTTACTGTTGAGCTACATTTTTAAGAAAAAAATGCTGTGAAAAATAAAATTGAAAAATAGTGTTTAATAGTTTGCAAAAACAAAATTTTAAAACTTTATTACACAGTTTTTCATTTAAAATAATTTATTATTATTTTTTTGCTTTAATTTTTAAATTAAGCGCAATTCCAATATTTGCTATTTCTATTTGGTTATTGTTCATTGACAGTCTCGTGTCTGCACGAAGTATACATCTCATTATATTATGTTTAAATTCCCGTTAATAATTAAATGCTTTACAAAGGAAAAGTACAGTACTCATTCATGTATGTATGTATGTATGTATATACGTTCGACTAGGGTATAAATGCCTATTTAGTTGTAACTTTCATTAATTTTACACATTATTTATTTACTTGTATTCTTTATAATTGAGATTCTTTAAAGCTAAATAGTAAATGTAATGTTTTTCTTTACGCAACGCCACGCACTTCCGCCGTTCGCACGGCGCATTATCGATTATTATTTATATATGTCTTTATATATTATGTATATAATTACAAAAGAAGACATTCCATATATGTATGTATGTGTAAGAATATATTTAGAAGGTGGAGTATATAGTAGGTATTTAATTTTAAAAAATATTAAAGCAAAAAGCGAGTTGTAATATGCAAGGAAAGTTGGGCAAAACAATATTAAAATATAAAAATATTTTAAAAAATAAAAATATTAAAAAAAAATATATATTAAAAATTAAAAAATATAAATTAAAAAAAATAAAATAAAAAGAAAAGTATTAAAAATTAAAAAAAAATTATTCCAAGTAAGAAAAAAAATATTAAAAATTAAAAATATATATTCAAAGTAAAAAAAAAAAACTAAAAATAAAAAGAAAAATTTAAATAATATATTCAAAGTAAAAAAAATATCAAAAATAACAAGAAAAATATTAAAAATTGAAAAAATATATTCAAAGTAAGAATAAAAAAATATTAAAAATAAAAAAAATATATTCAAAGTAAGAAAAAAAATATTAAAAATTGAAAAAATATATTCAAAGTAAGAATAATAAAATATTAAAAATTATAAGATAAATATTAAAATTAAAAAAATATATATATTAAAAATTAAAAATTAAAAAAAAAATATTAAAAATTAAAAAAAAAATATTAAAAATTAAAAAAATATATTCAAAGTAAGAAAAAAACATATGTATATTAAAAATAAAAAAAAAAAAAAATAAAAAAGAGAGAAAAATATTTAAATTAAACTTATTAAAAATGAAAATAAAAAAATATGTATTTAATATAGAATAGTAATAAATATACTTAATATCAGGGACCGTAAATAATAATTGTTGCGATTTTTAAATGAAATATTCAATCCCTTAGAATCGACATACAAAAAAAAACAGATAACGTCTGTTAATCCTTTTTCGACGATCTCAGCATTTCGGTGATGATTTTTTAATTTTGGATTTTTATAATTTTCTTCACAGATAATTTTTAATTTTGATTACTTTTATAATAAATAATAATTAAGCAATATTTTTGAGCAACAAAACATAAATAATTATTATTTGTGGTTGTTATTTTTAATTATTATTCGATTTGCTCACAAATAATGATTATTTTTGATTTTTATGTTTTTTGCTCAAAAATAATGATTATTTACGATTTATTATAATATTAATCAATATTAATCATTATCGGTGAGACAAACATATTGAGTTTATCATTATTACATGATTTTTAAATTAAAACTTATAATTATTACGGTCTCTGCTTAAACAATCTAAAGAAAAATATTATTAAAAATTCAAAACAAACGTTTCCGTACATAAGTAAGTATAATAAAAATTATATAAAAAAATAGCAACAAATAAAAAATCAGTCGATGAAAAAAATTAAATATATACAAAAACTAAGCAACTATAATAATAAATAAATGCATTGAAACATATAAAAAAATTTAGAAAATGAAAAATTAATGTATGTTCTATTTATTATAAAGCTAGACAATAAACTATATATAATGTATTTATTAAAAGCGAAAATTCACTTGATAAAAATTCAAAACGTACAAATAATAGAAAAGCATTTTTCGTATTGCTGAAGTAAAATAGAGAGCGCCCAAAAGCAAAAGACCAAAGCAAGTACACTACTGCAACGCAAAGGAAGTGCGTCGAAATGAAGCAGATCGAAGTAATAACAAATTTTTGCAAACACGAAAAGCAACACAAAATATATATATTTGAAAATAAAAAATAACACTAAAAAAAAAAAAAAAAACACACAAAAAATAAATAGAAACAGAAAAGAAAAAAAATGTTTAAAAAATATATAAAAAATAAATTAAAAAAATTAAATAAAAATAAACAATAAAAAAAACTTTAAATATACATATGTATAACAAAAACAAATATAAAAAATATAAAGAAATATCAAAAAATAACACAAAAAAAAAAAATAATAAAAAAAAAATATTTTAAAAAAATATATAAAAAATTATTAAAAAAAAATAAATAAATAAAATAAAAAAAATTATCAAAAAAGAAATATAAAATAAAAATTTTTAAATATATAAAAAAATATAAAAATTAACAAAAAAATAGCTCCAAAAAAAAAATAATAAATATAAAATATTACACAAAAAAAATTTAACACTTAATAGCAATAAAAAGTATATAATAAATTATAAAATAACAAAGAAAAATATAGGCTGCAGTTGATTTTTTAAAGCATAGGTAAGACGAAAATGGCGTGTATAATTTGCGCTTGCTATTTATACAAATATTTGATAGAAAAGGCAACGGAATTTGCTTGAAATGCAGCTTTTTACAATTGTGTGCAGCAACAAGCGCGCGACCTCACTATTGCAGCTCGAGAACTCGACATTTCGAGAATAAAAAATAATAATTTGAGATACTAGCGCTAAAATAGATGTTTATAATGCTTAGCAAATGGACGCAGAACCGCAAGCACGCGCGCATGCTCAGGCTAACACGCAAAAAAAAAAAAAAAACAAAAAAAAATTAACGGCACTTGTAAATAATACAGTTAGTTGACTCTTTGCATGCGTAAACGTAAAGCGTGAATAAATGTAATATTTTTGTTTTGTGACCAGCATTTTGCTCACTGTCGCGGCTAGCGCACTGCTTTCTTCTAGCTTCTACTTATGTGTTATGTTATGTCTTGTGTTGCAGAATTCACACGCGCATTTTATTAGGTTATCAATTGTTCTTGCTATTGTATAAATAATTATTTGTTTGGTGTTCTAATTAATTTGCTAACTTCAACTGCTCACGCTTCACACTAACTTCTGACTTTTGGTGACTGTTGTTGTTGTAGTTGTTACTGTTTGGCTATTACCCTCCAGGAGTTGTTGATTTCAGCGATATTTTCATCTTAGCTAATCTTTTCGCGATATTTCAGCTTGTGCTTTGTCAGCATGTCGGTGACGGTGACCAACTTCTTAATGGAGAGTATATTCGAGAGACCTTGCAACTCCGGCAAGTAAGAGACGCAAATGTGATGGAGTGTGGCCAGTTCGCGACCTGTAATGGTAGAAAAATTTCTTTTTAGTTTTTTTAACATTATTTCGAATATGGTTCTTCATTCAAGTAAGATTAGACAATTCGATCGAGTTAACGTAGTAAAATCTGCCCCTAACGGGTTTTTCTTTATCCTCGACTTTTACACCTAACGAAGAAGCCACATCAATACTCACGCTCTCCAATGCTTCATAAGATGCTAAGCTATAATTCAAAGCTGCATTATTTATAGCACAAAAAGATCTTTAGCCTAATTTTGCACGGTCAGTTTGTGTGACAGCTATATGCTATATTAGTTCGATCTGAACAATATGTTCAGAGATTAAAGCAATGCCTTGTGCAATAATCTATGTAAAATTTCGTGTAGATAACTTGTCGAATAAAAAAGTTTTCCATGCATGAACTTGATTTTTATCGGTCAATTTGTATGGCAGCTATATGCTATAGTAGACCGATATCGGCGATTTCGACAAATGAGCAATTTCTTGGGTAGAAAGTGACTTGAGCAAAATTTCAGAACGATATCTCAAAAACTGAGGGACTAGTTCGCGTATATATAGATAGGCGGCCAGACAGACGAACATGGCTAAATCGAAGCCGCTCGTCACGCTGATCATTAATACACATATATACTTTGTAGAGCTCCTTTTGGTTGGAGTGTGACGAAATGTAGGCGTTGGTGAGTCGTTGTGTTCATTTCGTAGCATCTCTGCAGTTGTGTCATGATTGGCGGTAGCACGTGGTTTCTAACTTAGCTACATCCCTGACTGTTACTTACCAGTATCCTGCACAGTATGATTGGAGTTTTGTTCGCTAAACATGCCCGGCGGTGGATTTGGATCCGTAACGAGCGATAATTGATCGAGAAAGACAATCATGCGTTCCTTATTCTTCAATATAAACGGATTGACCACCTCCATGTATTGTTCCTACAATGGTTGAACGAAAGCAAGCGCATATTAAATGAGTATTTATATACAAGTGCTGCAAAACCCACCTTGCCGCCAAACTCAATTAGATTTGCTAGATTCTGCAAGCATTTGGCTACCATAATGAGCGAACGCGTAGCCATGGTTGGTGGCGTTTCGCTTACCAGGCCAAATTGACGAGGATTCAACAATGCCGGGCATAGCAGACGTAGAAATATGAAACCGGAGACGACGCGCGTGCGCACCAAGCGCTCAGTTGGCCACTTGGCCACGACAGCCTTCTGCAGGCAATTACATATGTAGCGCACACTGCGTGGACACGCCTCGGGCGAGGTGAATATCGAATGCGTCACCGAATCGAGTATCTGTAGCAAAAACTCGGCATTGGAGCAAGCATCATCGTTCACATCCATCTTGGTGGGATTGAGTTCGGCCGATTGCTTGCTGTCGAGTATGCGCTGCACCGTCTCCGAAACGGCAGCGTGCAAAAAACCCGAGCACTCAGTGCGCATGTGCAAATCCATTAGTGTGGTGGCCAGCGAAGCGCCGCGGAAAAGTGTAGTCGTTTCGTTTTCACGCGCGATTTCCGCCTGGCAGAGTATGCGTATCAGCTCCGTCTCGCGTTTCTCATGACGGAATACACGTAGTAGCGCCGTAGCGAGCGGCACGCGATCATTGTGACAAAGTTCGGCCAGAGCTTTAACCACGCACAACTCGGGCTCGAGCAGCAACTCCTGCAATGGACTGTACTCCTCGCAGGGCATAATCAAGTCATCCAAATAGCGCATGCGCAAACGTAGTGAACCCCATTCGCCCATGGGTGTCATGCCGGTGAGCTGATGCCAGCCCTCCGTCTCTTGACCGTTCTTCAGACTGGCCAAATCGATGGTGAGTTCGGCGACTTCCGAATCTTTACCGCGTTTGCCACGCGAAATGAGCGTAATTGTGAGTGAGACCACATCCGGCGGCACATCGCTGTAAAATAGAAAAATCCAATTAGGTCATTAGTATTCACACTGCCACACTGTCATTTACTCACTCCAAAACGAATTCCTCCTCCCACACTGGATCGGGCGCGATCTTCACACGCGTCTTGCCCACCTTCACTTGATTCAACGAGATGCTGCAGTAGGGATGCGGCACCAATTTGAATGGCAGCTTATGCGCCTCGAGCACATGCAAATTCAGGCAACGCAACTCGCGCAAACACGGCACTTTGATTTGCGCGCGACTGAATTGTGAACTGCATTGCGCTTTGAGCGCATTAATCCATTCCACGTACGTCTCTTGCGTCGCGCACAGATACGTATTGTTAGCCAAGCATGGCAGTGCGCGCTCCACTATTTGAAAACAATATGGCCGCTCCCATAGCGATTCATGGCACTGGTATAGATACGCACACGATAGATCGATGAGACCCTTCGGTTTAGTCTTTTTCGGATTGTCATAGAAGCAGAGATGTGTTTCGCTGCCCTCGCTGATAAGCGCAAAGTACAATTGTTTCCATTTGGCTGTCTTATCAGACTTCTTGAACAAATGTCCATGATGTTTGATGCCTTTTATCTTCTTCAAACCGATTTGATCGCGACATTCACGCAGAGTTGCATAGATTTTTTCGGCTGCCTTTTCCACCACAAACTGTTGGTTGAATTCGGGCTGTGAACCGTTAACCACCTTGCAGTAAGTAAGAAAAGCGAAAAAATCAAATAAATAAATATAAAACAATTTAAAAATAGTGACGTCAATGCACTTACTGGATGACTGAGTGAGTGACCTTCGACGATTTGCTCTTTGCGATAGCGATTGATCACGGCATCCAAGCACTCGAAAGTGCGTCCGCCCATCAGATAACGTACGCCTTTCTTTTCAATGCGAAAGCGCTGAATTTGATTATTAATGTGAAAGAAGAGCGAGTAATCGCCAGGCGAATTATCGCTTGGGCGCACCAGAAAGCTGCCTGGACCGGCTGTTGTTCAGTTACATAGAAAACAAACATATTTGTACAATTGTAGAAAATTTAATATACGCACACGCCATTTACCTTTCACCAGCATGTCGACTGCTTCATTCTTAGTGCAATTCGGATGGAACCAAGGAAACACCGTGTTTGGATCGATTACCGGATCCAAATCCTCGACTAGTTCACGGAAGATCATACCCTGCTCACCAGTGCGATGTGCTGTCACCCACAACCAACCGTCGCCCATGTCATTGTGCACAAAAAATATATCACCCTTCTGAAAGCTCAACTCATCGGTGTCAGCCATTTTGGTATAGGGTAAATGTGCCACAACACGCTTCTTATCGTTCACCGGCTCCGGTGGTGGCACTGGTAGCACCAGGCGCTCACGTTTCAGCAAATCACTGCATGAGGTGTAGTAGCCGACGAGATCGCTCAGCGACACGAATTGACGTCCGCCAATATAGAAATCACCACACACCGCAGTAATGCTGAAAAAGTTCAAGAAAGCAACAGAAATTAATAATAATATATAAATCTAAAAACAAATGTGCTTTGAAGCATAAAATATTTACATTACTTACCGAAAATGATTAATGCCAGTGCGTCCTAAATAGCTTAATACATATGAACCAGGCTTGCGATCGCTTTCACGTACTGCAAATTATGAACAACAAGTAACATTTTCACATTAAAAAATCACTTACGATAAAAATAAATAAAATATGCAAAAAAATTAATTTTTAGCAGCTCTAATATTTTAATAGCTTCTACTAACCGCTGTCTGACTTACCCAAATAACTGCCCAATTTGCCAGTTCCGCGTAGTCGCGATTCAGCAGAATAACGATCCAAGCGCCCATGATACCATTCACTCTCCGGCGGTGCAATTATGGCTGGTCGCTCACCTAAAAAACATTTTGAATTTTCCATAAAAGTTATAGTTTACATTCTTAGAAAATCCAATACAAAATTATTTTTAAAATAAAATGTAAACATTCCGGCACTCACCATTCAACATATTTGGGCCATCAAACTCATCCTGATCTAATTCCTGGGCCAAGTCACCCATGTCGATGCCTCCTGTGGCCATTAGTGCGCTTATACCAAAAGCAGCTAAATTACCGTCATCTAAGCACACAGTCGGTGAACCAAGCTTATCCTTATGTATGGCGGCATCCACATTCCCTAGACGTATTAAATCTGCCATAATTTTTAGGCCAAAGCGGATTTAGTAAATATTTGTTATTTGCGTTTTTTCTGTATATGTATGTTTGTATGATTTTTTTTACAATATTTTAAGAAATTAATTAAATAGCTCCTGCTAAAGGTGCACACACACAATATTGAGTAGAGTGGAGTAGATTCGAGTGGACTAGTTTGTCAGTGATATTTTTTGCGATTTCTTTTCAATAGCTTTCTGGCGCGTGCAATGTAGTTGATGACGTATGCGAGGCTAATTATATACGTACATTTGTATGTTGAAATGCCAAGAGTTTGTTGTGAGCACACACAAAATTTACGAATGATGAGGTTTCGCGTTGATGACGTTAGCACAAAATAATAAATGTAAACACACTATTTGTTTGGTTAATAATAGTTTGTGAGTAAATGCGATATAACGATGACGTTAGTATTTGACATACATACATACGTACGATAAATATTCCTGTATGCAGCAGTGATATGCGTCTCACAACGAACGGTACGAAGTGAGTCAGTGATGACAACATATATGACAGGTTAAAACTGCAAAAAAATATTAAGCATAAATTTGCAACTATAGCTACAACAAATGAAACGAAAAACAATGCGCATAATAACAAATGAAAGGTATGCACGCACACACACAATACAAATAATATAAAAGCGTTTACAGAAAATATTGAAAAAGCTTGCTACTTAAGAAGATTTCTTATTCGAACAGTCTTATAGAATGTAACAGAAAAGTAAAATTAAAATAGGAAGAAGCAGCAGCGGCAACAAACAGCAGACAACGGTAGACAGCACCGCAGGAAAAAGGAAGTGAAAAAGCGGAAAAGAAGGTGAGGCACCAGACAATATTAGTGAGCGTCGCCGAGCTGGAATAACAGCGTGCGTGGCGGTTCGACGTCGACAGCGAACAGTGTGCTGCATCGTTGCATAGCGTTAAAAATGTATAGACAATATTGTATATATGTATATATTATTGACTTTGTTGAATGAATGCCCAAAAAATTTGCCAAAAAATTAATTAATGTTGTTGACAGAAAACCATAAAGTAAACTCAGCCAAATGTAACAAAACAATTCCAAATTAATATTAAGAAATGCTACTGAATATACAGATGATTTTTGAAAAAATTATTGTTTGTAGGTAAATAGGTACATGAAATCCAGTTGTAATTCTAAAAGCGCAATAAAATAAATTTTTGTTTTCGATTTGCTTTTCTACCGTCGTGCTACTTCCTTTGTTTACCATTGAATCACTGTGTATAGAAGTTTTGATCGTTTTTATTCCCTCGCCGCTGCAAAGTGCATTGGCCAGCTCGACGACGACTACCTAATGCTCAAAAAGGCAGACACTTGTGGTATGACTCAGGAGTAGGGATGAAATGGATGCATGAACGCTCGTTAATTCGCACATAAACACATATACATAAATATAACTTTCTATAACAGAACGTTGCTGAAGTTGTATGTACGTCTAGACGGAATAATATGGGCAAAACATAAATTCAATTAGGTTTGTGGGCGGTGGCAGACGCAGACGCCTGCATGGAATACCACGACATTAAATGGATATTTCACAGATCCGTAGCTATTACAAAGCCGCCAGAGTATGCAAAAAAATCACTATTTTACTCCAGTACTTTTGTCTACCAAGTCTCTGACTCAGCGTGTGGCACACGTACGCGAGAATGTGATGTATTTGTCTTTAACGACATAACTTACCACGACACAAAATTCAATTATGAAAAATTCATTGAATTAGCATTCGCTTTGGAAAAACTGCTTAAAGAAATGTAATGAAAATGAATCCCTACACCGTGACTATGCCGACGCTTTCGGCATACGCTCACAATTAATTTTTCACAGTTTTGCTTGTTTTCCACTCGTACGTTTTTCCAAATGCAATCTTTTTAAATTAACGCGACGCCAACGACGTCTACTAATGCGAACGACCACCACTAGACTACCTTAGCAAGCAGCGGAAAACAACGATGTGGCGTCGACGATATTTAACAACGCATTGACAAAGGCGACGACTGCGACGGCGCTAACAAAGCCGTAGAAAACACCGACATCAAAATATGACGAATACACTAGCTAACTTAGCGACGTACCACCGAATAGTCTATGAACAGGCAAACTCGCAAAGTCTTAGCGTACGGCCCGGTTGGTTTGGAGCTGCACTGCCTCGACTTGATGTTGCACGCTGCTTGGAATTTAATTGAGCACTTTCAATTTTCACTGCATTGCCCCTAGGCATATACCCTAAAAGGCACCCCACCTACCCGACGGTGGGTGCTTTAATATATTTCGCTTACATGCAAACATATAAACATGCACACATATATTAAATTAAAAGTACATATTGCCACTCACATTACTCCTGCATTTCGTTCCTTTGCGACCCAATCAGTGCTGCGGCCGCGCCTCCTTCAACATAAACAACGTTATATTATTATATTCCAATCGACAATAAGCCAACGAAAGGCAGCTTTTTTAATTTTTCACACACACACTGCTTTTATACTTATTTACGACACTCCCTTATACATTTTCAGCACAATTTAGCGAATTTAACAATTTTTAGGAAATTTATCAATAACAAAGTGAGAAAAATTCTGGATATGTAAGAATTTTTCCACAACTTCATTTGCAAGCAAATTTTTGATTCTTGTTCTTCTTCAAAGAACGTCAATACAATGGCGAATTGAAAAAGCGATAAGAGCACATGGTTGCATTGATATGCCGAAATTATTCTTTAAACAGAGAACGTAATGTACGCAATATACGTTCTCTGTTACAATGTTACAAATTTGCGAAAAATTTTATCCAGAGAATGTTAATAAATATTTTTTTAACATTCGCTGTTTAAGCGTGGCGCGTGAACGCAGATAATATATTTTATCGTTCTCTGGTCAACGTTCTCTTCGCAATATATAATACGTTCTCTGCTACAAATTTGACAATCTAGTTTATACACCAACCGCTGTCGTACATTACCACAGTGTACTTCGAACTGTATAATAATGCTAAGCTCAGAGAAAAAGTTGACATTGACTATAAAGAAACAAGTGTGGCATTATAAATTAAATATTTTTATCAGCTAATAATCCTGGCAAAATTAATTGGTTTCAACACTTAAACAAAAAAAAAACACAAATATCTACAAAAATTTTTTCATTGCTATTAGTAACATTGCTGCATTAAAACTATATTCAAAACATGAACTGCTTGCTTTTTTAGAAAACTTTATTCACATTCTTCACCATATACGACAAAAGTATTTATATACAATATTTTTGTAAATCAATTTGCATTTTTAGTAACAAAAATTGCTTAGGAATATTTAAAAAGTAAATGAGCGCACATTTTATATTAAAAAAAATAATAATAATAAAAGAATTGTCAAATTTAAAGAAAATTTAAATTCGTTAAATTTCATTTAACTTTAATTTTTGTATACACTTAAGAATTTAATTTGCTATTAAAAAAAAGAAATTATGCGCACAAGCTCTTCGGTATATTCAAAATTCATATACATTTATTATATTAAGTACATATTTTACTATTATATAATTATGTATGTATTATATTAAGTATGTTCAAACATATATGGGCACATATGCGAAAATTTTAGTTTTTTTTTACATTGAATTAATACATACATACATATATACAACGTATAAGGCTGGTTACAGACTTCCAATACCGAAATTCTGTTTTTAAACACAACATTCACTTATACTATTTACTCCAATATGAATAGAAAATAGTTTATTATATTTTTCATTTAATTGTTAAAAAATATTTAATAAATAAGTTTTCATTTGGTATAAGAATATGGCAACTTCACAAGATTATTTATTGGGTTTATGCGTATACTCAATTCAAGTTAAACATTTTTTTTTTATTTCTTGTTTTTTGGTTTGGCAAAAATTCATATTTGTATTTACATTACAAACCGTTATTGTTTACCTTTTGTTGTATGACATGAGGACTAGATTAGGAACCATATTTGTACATTTGCTAATTTTAATACATTTTATAAAGTCCAAAAAAATATTTAGAATAAACTATTTAATAAGTACATACACTAAAAACTAAAGAAAAATACTGCATAACAAAAACAAAACTAAACACATACGTAAAATTTAAGAGAATAAACGCATAACATAAAACATGTTGAACACAAAAAATTTGACAGGTAAAACTTACAAATCTATTTGCTTATTTTTAAACGAAAAAATTACGTTTGTGCGCATACAACTATTTATACATTTTCACTAGCAAACACGCCACATCGCTCTCGTCGAACTCCATCTCCTCCGCATAGGCGTCCAACTCGAGTATCTCGAAGTTCTCTGCTGCCAATTTGAAAGCCTCGCTCAATGTCGCATCACATGCCGAAGACGCCACCGAGTTGCCAGCTGTACACGCCTCCGGCTCTGCGTCGCCAGCAGCGCAAAGTGCTTGCGCACCACCAGCAGCAACTTTATCAGGCACAACGTCGTCTTTCCGCAATGCTTGCGCGCCAAGCACCAAAGCGGCCGCATCATTTTCAATCATACCGCATACGCCGTCCGCTTGCTCCTCCTCCACCTCCTCCAAGTCCGTGTCGGACTAGCTGCTACTTGTCGGCGTCTGCAGACCATTCACTTTGCCGGGAAAGTGGCACATGCAGGCGGGCGTCGGATTATGCGCAGCATTCGAGTCCAACTTCTTCGTTAGAGTCTTCCAATAATCGATCTGCGCATTCAACAGGTCAATCTTCCGTTCGCGCTCCTTGATCGCCAGCGACATGAGGTAGTCATTGTTGCGATTGTTGACATTGTGTGTGCCGCCGATGCCGCTGCTGCTGCCACTGCTGCTGTTGCTGTGATTGTGCAGGCCGCCGCCAGCACCGCTGCCGCCATGACCATGCCCGTTGTGCTGGTGATGGCTGTGACCGTGACCATGAGCGTGACTGTTCTTCTGCAGGCCGGCGTAGCCAGCGTTCGCATTCAAGCTCAGCAACAGCTGATTTGTACTATTGATAAGATTGTTGTTGCTATTGCTATTAGCGGCGTGCGTGGCGCGTTGCAGTTGCGGCAATGGCGGCTCTGCCGGATGCACGGCACTCAAGCCGAGGCCGTTGAGCAGCAGCTGCTGTGCTGCTTGCTGCTCGGCGCTTACCTGGTGGCGCGTGCTGGGCGTGTGGCGACCAGCATTATGTGCGCCATGACCATTTCCGTGGCCATTATTACCGTTATTACTGCTGTTTGGTATATTCAGCGCAGAATTGCTGCCGCCATTCTGCAGCGCCTTGAGATTCGCCAAGCTGCCAATGCTGCCGACGCGTATGCCGCCGACATTTTGTATTGTCACTTCTGGCTGTTGTGTGGAATTTTGCTGCTGATGCGGTCCATTTGAGTTGAAGGAGGCGCGGTGTGACGCATGCGTCGATTGTACAGGCGTAGAATGACGCAAGTCAGTGGCGAAAATCTCATCATCTTCCTCCTCTAAACAAACCTCGGGTATATCTTTGGAACTCAGACAGTCACCATCGTCATCGTCCATATCCTCAGGCGGCTGTGACTGATCATTATCGCTGATGTCCTCCGATTTAATGACAATGACATCGGGGTCCATGCCATCATAGCCGAGCGCGGCAAGTTGTGGAAAGGGATTCTAATGCAAAACATGGAGGAAGAGAAGCAGATTAGAAGAGTGTATGTAAAACTTGTTAAGAAATTTAAAGTGAAAACAGAAACTGCAAAAAAGACTTAATTACATGTTTGAATGTAATTTTTGTATGAAAAATTGCCAGGACATCCTTCGTATTATTGAATATATGCTTTTATTCCGTTCGTACGTTTTATCGCTCAATCCCAGTTGCCGATACTAATCTGTGCTGCGCGTAAACCACACTTGTTATCAATCACACACCAAAGTCCACCCCAATAAACAGCGCCCTAATTAGCTACACGCTTACCCACTAACCGCTCCTCTCAACTCGTTTTGTGCTTACTACCACTGCGCCACACTTGGGCATACGCGTATCAAATGGGTATTATATGTTATCATTCTGAACTCACCTTTGAGTCATCGTAGTCATCGTCGTATTTGTGCTGTCGATTACTGCCGTAGCCGCCATTGCCAATGCCGCTGCCACCATTCGGCGACATCTGTTCGGATATGTATTGTGCGACGGATTCCTGTTGCGACAGCGTATTCAGCAGATCCATGAATGTGCGATTGCCTTTGCCCTCGCCGCAGAGATCCTTCTTCAGCAGCAATTTCATGTTTTTGTACAGCTGACGTAATTGCTTGGAGGAGCGCTGATGATAGACGCGCGCATTGAACTCCTTTGCTATTTGGCGCCACACTTCGTCCTTCTTGCGATTCGACTCGGCGTCAGTGCGTTTATTCTCGATGACATCTTTGTATTGAGCGGCGAAGCCCAGCACCATGTTGCGCTCCCGTTGCGTGTAGCGGGGAGTCTTCTCCATCTTCATGCGCTTTTTGTGAGACGTTTTGAAGCTGTCGCACAGCAAGCGTGTGTGTATATATGTATATGAAACGATACAACAAGGAAATATGTACACAATAAGATTTGCTGTAATATTGCAAAGAGCTTAAGCTTAATTAAATAATTGCTAGCGAGCGCTCGCCAACGTAAACACGAACCGCACAGCGCACTGCGTGTGTTGAGCTGTGAGCAAAGTAAAACGGACTGGTTGGTTAGACTCGGCCCAGAGCGCGAGTGGCTGACTGATAGCCGCCTGACGCCGATAAAAACCGTGCAAACTCGTGCTCGTGTGCGTAAGCGCGCACACACATATGTACCAACACATACAAATACAAATGTCGTCGTTGGTTGTATGTGTGCGTTCGCTTTGACTGCCGTTGCGTTCTTTACCTTTTTGTTATTATTAATTAATAAGCATTTGACAAAACTCAGCCAAAGCAGGGCGCAGCGCGCGCACTCAGCCACTCAATCAGCCCCAAACCAGCAGGCAAACCAAGCGTTCACACGGCTAGACAATTGTTTTGAGCTCAACGCGCCCAACGTCGGCCAGCACAGACACACTCATACACACACAAAAGTGGAGAGTGCGTTTGGTTAACGGCAAGATATCGTCTGACGCGACAATGATAACGATTTTCGTTTAATGATAAGCTCACACAGTTTTGGACGAGCTGAAGCTTAGTCTCTGGTCTGTTGGTCTGTGGCGCAACCATATCTCCAAAATACTTTACCGCTATCTCATGGCTGCCTGCACGCGTTTGTTTGCTTGTATTACAGAATATTCAGAAGCTTAGCATAGAATGTGAGTCAAACGGTGAGCACAGCAAGGCTGTTGGAAGCGAGAGTACTTTCAAGAAGAAAATTACTAAGGAGCTGTTGTTTAACGGCACTCAAATTATTAATTTAAAAGCTTAAAAAGCAGTCCGAAAACAATCAGCGTTTGACAACTGAATAAGTTTAAAAGCTTTACAAAACTGCTGCTGTGAAAGCTCATGAAAACACACAAGATGAAAGCTTTCTTAAGCGGAAAAACGTACCGGCACATTTTTATACCCTCATCAGGGTAAATATACTCCGAAAGAAACGTCGGAGAACCTATAAAGTATCGGAAGATGCATCAAGGCAGCCTTAAAAAGCCTTAAAAAGTAGTTTTATGAAAGCTGCTGTGAAAACTTATAGAAACACAAAAGATGAAAGCTTTCTTAAGCGGAAAAACGTACACGCACTTTTTTATACCCTCATCAGGGCAAATATACTCCGAAAGAAACGTTAGAGAACAAGTCCTTTTTCCCACAACAGACCTGGACCACTATAGTATAAAGCTGTCATACAAACAGAGCGATCAAAAGAAAAAAAATCTGTTTATACTCTTTTATGATCTATGTAAGAAATACACATGTGCAGGGTATTATAGACCCGGTGAAGCCGAAGTTAACGTTAACAAGTGCCGATAAAACTGAAAGTCAGGAGTTTACACGTAGTTTTTTATTATTAGCTGTTTCTATTTGCTCAAAGCTATGTTTGAGCATAAAGAAAGCCTTTTATGTCACATAAATACCTGTATCTATTGACATACACGAATAATGTGAATACATGCACGTGTGTGTGTGTGTGGGAACACTAAACCCCATCCTGGCACAAGCGAACAAGCGAGCGCTGAAAAAAGCACCTGATAAAGACACGCATGCATACATATTTACAATGCGCTAAATATCTAATCAACTAATTGTAAATCTACTTAGGCATATACTTACATACACACACATACATACATATATATATATATAGAGCAGCTTGAATGTTTATGCCGTCAGAATTCAAGTTAAACCGATATTAATCATTAGCGAATCGCCGGTAAAATTAACAGTGTGCAAAAAACTACGCAATTCGATTATTACTGAGTGCGACGTAGGAGGAGGAGGGGCGGTGTTTCACCATTACAAACCGAACTTCTGTCTAAGCAAAGCTGACAATAGCGCGCTTAATGCTGCATGTGAAACAAAGCATTGATTAGCATGCACCTAGACTTGAGCGCATATGCAATACATGCATGCATACACACATATATACATACATATATAACTATATATGTATATAATAAAATGTAGCGATCATTTCAATGTAAGCAGCGCTTCAAGTCCAGTTTGACAAGAAATGACAATAAAGCAAATAGTCGAATTTATTGTCCAACTGTGTGTGTGTCTGTGTGTAAACAAAGCGCACCGACTGTGTGCTCAAGATTGCAACACTGTAAGGGGGGAAGGGGTTGCGCTTAAATAGGTGAACAAATAGCAGACAGACAACGCGGCAGGCTGGCAGACTGCGCAGTCCGTGCTTCCTGCACGAACTACACGAGCGCCATACGTGCCTGGAGCTCCACTCCATACAAACTGCCTGCCGCAGCTGGCTGACATTGCGAAGTGGCAAGTGTGAGCAGACAAACATACAAACAAACAAACCTGCCTGCTGTTGACGCCATCGCGTAAAAATCTATTAAATTAGGCTATATCAACTGATAGCGCGCAAGCCGCGGCCAGCCTGAGTCAGCGCTGCAAAGTGAATTTTATATAATATTTATTATTGCCACACATAAACACACGCTTGCATAATTACAATACAAGCATTTGTGCGCAGCTAAGTATTACTTTGTATTTATGCCTGCAGAAGCGTAGCAGTGGAGTGGCGGCAAACAAACACTCAGTCCATGTCGTCAAAGTTTAAGATAAGATTGAAGCGCACACTGATAAGTCCGATAGTCGGTTCTAAAAGTGAATGATGTGGCATTGCGGTACACGCACACACACACACATATATATATATATATACATTACTAGGTATGTACAGTTCAAATACATATGCGCATTAGTATCAACAAGTGCACCGAGCAGGTGAAGTGACACTTAGCAATATACCGTGTGTGGTAGTGCCATGTGTAAGTGGGGATTTATGTAGAATGACAACTACTGTTACGTCACAAGGCACAAAAAAGCAGAAGACGACTGCAGAGCTTTCGATGAGCGTTAGTTGAACACAATATTTGCGCAGAAATATAATTGCTTTTGGCTTTATTGTGCCATAACCTCACATTTGATATGCGTACTTAATAAAAATAGATAAAACGCAGTTTTGACAGAGAGCGTCTAGCGGCGACAGCTATAACAAAGCTATTTTTCTTTATCACGCTAGGTTGAAGTGATAAAAATTCAAGCACACAATCAACAATAGAAACACAATGTATAGGTTAGGTTGCAAAGTTGGCTCAAACAACGCGTTTCCCATATGAAAGTTTAGTCTCACGTGCGAAAAATGTTTTTTATACAACTCTCTTTTATACTGTATCCTTGAATTGTAATGAGTTCCCTTAAGCGGTTATATGTGTTTCTTCGTGCAAAAAACGCTCTATTTTCTATAATTTTTTTTTGTTGGTTGAGTAGTTCGCAAGAAATCTTGTTAACCCACTTTGAAAACAAAGTTTCGCGAAAAACGCGTTTAAAGTTTTAAGTGATTATATACCAGACCTCGAGCGCGCAACTTTTCAAAGCTGTATCTCCAAAACTATTACTGGTATCAACTTGAGAATTTAGCACAATACTCTAGCGTTATAAGTTATAAAATTAAATAAGACAATTTATGTTTTTTTTTAAAGCCGTGAAACCCTTAAATTATCTAGTGAACAAATAAATCCTCTACGCAGAGTTTCAGTTCGTAATAATGAGAGTTAAGCAGTTATATTATCTTAAGAATTGCATATAATCGATTTTTTGTTTTTGCATATTTCGAATGTACATATGTATGTACATACTATACGTATCTCAGAATTTCTACAAAATAATGAAGTTGAGACGGCAAATAGTTTTGAAGTTATGAGCGTATTTGTTTTGCTTAGTGTTTAAAAACTCCAACTCAGTAAGCTCGCTTAACGTGAGCTCGGAATGTACTTATAAAGAGCTATAGTTTGTTTATGTTTATTATGTAACTGTGATCTAGCAACAATTTGGCTAATTTAAGCAGATAATTTTAAGAAGTTTACACAATTTGCTGATATTTCAGGCAGTTAGCGTTTTCTAAGCTATGCAACTAATACAAAACGAACGCTAAGCATACATAGGTACCACGACTTTTTAAGATCCCTGGGGTTACTTTGGTTTTGAACAGTTAAGCGCTATATATCCTAGCATTTCTTGGTCGGCATTCGAGTCCCGCTTTTGCTATTTGAAACGGAGACATAATTATTATTCGAATTCGTGTCTTACCGAAATACGTGCGTTCATTCTACTTATGTAGCCTTTAAAAATAGACTTTTACGCGCTGGTTGCCTTATGTCGCTTCATCTGAGATACACAAAAGTTTTCCAAACTAAAAATGCTACGCCATTTGTAAATAAGCATTGTTCCCAATCAAGCGCAGCCAATTTCCGACGCTCAGCGCCAATTTGAGTTCATCTTTCTATTCAGTGTTCGCTCGTATCCCGACACGTCGATTACTTGTGCCTCGGCGCCGTGTTTT